TGAGCGGCGTGCCCGAATTGAAAGTCGGTGGGCCTTCGGCAGCGCTCCCACTTGGACCAGGGCCACGATCCTAGTGAAGTGCGCGCCGGAATCGCGCGTCGGAGGGCCAGGCCCACGATCCTCGAGAGGGTTGTACCGAAATGAAGCGGCTGGCAGTGGCGGTTGCTCCAAATCCGACGTCGACACGAAGGACAGGTGTAAAACTGTCGTTTTTTGTTCACTTTCTAATACGAATCCAATCTACAGCCTCTACAGCGAATAGTGCACGAAGGTAGGCATTGGCGCGAAAGACACGAAGGCCAGGTTTGAAACTACGGTTTTCGTAATTCCCCTGGTAGGAGTTCTATTAGGCCTGATACAAAAGAAGAGTACACGAAGGTGAGGTTTGTAACGACACGAAGACCAGGTGCAACCCTACTACTACTACTACTACTACTACTACTACTACTACTACTACTACTACTACTACTACTACGACTACGACTACGACTACGACTACGACTACGACTACGACTACTACGACTACTACTACTACTACTACTACTACTACTACTACCACTACTACTACTACTACTACTACTACTATTACTACTACCGCTACTGCTACAACTACGACGATGAGGAGAAGGAGGAGGACGGCGTTTACCGCTCCTACTAATGTTGCTTTCCTAGAGGCTCCAACTCCTAGGTAGGGTCGCACTGGGATAATGTTTGAGTATTTTTGGAATATTTCTGTCGTTCAATCCGCCTGTCGGGGAACATGCCCGACCTAAGCATTTCCTGGACACCACTGTCCAGTTCGACTCAGTCCTTATGTTGCCCCCATCGCGTTTAAGGACCAAATCACAGAAATAAGTTCGAGCACCCCGAGCAGTACCGAAACGATGTCGAACGAGTATCGCCTCCCAGGGCCTGCCACGTGAAAGCCCTCCGTGTTCGGTGCTTTCCTGGTGCTCGAAACCCTTCTTGGTGATCAAGGCTAAAGTAGGTCGGAACAGCATAACTGATTCCTTGGGTGCGTTTATTTCACGGTTTCGCTTGTCGGGGCGCTTACTGCCCACACCCTCGAAGTCAGGATTGTTTCATGACGTGGACCCCCAAGAACTCTGGACCCTTTCCCGGTGACTTGCTTTGTCTCCGGATTCGTTTGTTGACGGTCCAGAGGCCCCAACGAAGGCCCTTGGAGGCCAAAAATGGCCCAACACCGTCCAATGTGATCTTGTCTCATGACGCGAGGGGGTCTGGGTATGAGGGCGGTTGTTCTGCTATCTATCACGAGCTGACAGCTAGCACACACCCGTATGCGACCTCCAGATTTCTCGGGGTGCAGCTCTGGGGGGTGCAATGGGCGTGCGTGTGTTGTCGAGTGGGGGCCCCCGCTCGAGCGGGCGCCCCCCTCGAGGTCCGACAGCTCGCACCCAGACCTCTACACTTAGCGCCTTCATCGCCTTGCCCTTTGGGCGCGTGCTGTTGTCTCCACACGCTGCGCAGGCCTGTCGTCGCAGCCGCAGCCCTACACGCCCGCGGGCCCTCCGCCGCAGACGCCCGCCTTCCAGCCGCTCTCCGCGCCGCCGCAGACGCCGGCCGGACCGCCCCCGGCGACGCCGGCGCTGCCAGGCGGACAGCGGCAGGGCGCGGCGCCAGGGCCGGCGGCCCCCGGCACTCCGCAGGATGTCGGGAGAAGAAAGATCGGGGCTCAAGAGACGGGGGTCAATGCAAACTGGGGTCAGCCAGAGCGCGCGATCTTGCAGGATCCTGCAGAGGCCAGGGTCGCATTGACCCGTGCTTGGGTGCGGGATCCTTCAGGATCTTGCAGGATCCTTCGCATTGGCCCAGGCTTGGGTGCAGGATCTTGCAGGACTCTGCGAGGCCTGACTGACCCGGGTCTGGATTGACCGGGGTCAGCAGATCCCCGAAAAGAAACCAGGCATACCAGGCATGCCCGCGTCGGTGATTTCTCGCGAGGTTGCATTTTTGTCGCAACGTCGGATCGCAGAGGTTCGCGAGATCTCACTGCCCAGGCCCCCGACGCCGTGATTTTTTCGCAACGTCGACCCCCAGAGGTCTGGACCCCTTCCCCGGGACCGGTGCCTCATCCCAAGCCGGTTTTTTGACGGTCCCGAGGCCCGCGGATGTCAGGCAAAGAACGGCACACAGCCAAGAAGCCCCTTGAGGTCTGGGCGTTGCAGTTTTTTCACACGGGGCGTTTTCGACCAGCTTCGGGCCCCCAGGACCATGATGCAGATCGATCTGGTTCAAAAATGTCGCAGGAAGATGGAGTTTGGGGCTCCGGTCGTGATTTGTCGCGATGTTGCAATTCTTCGCGACCTCGGATCTCAGGGCCAAAAGAAGGAACAGCTCGAGTTCGGAAAGAGCTCGCTGTTCCCGACGTCCTTCCATAGCTCTTCCTCCAGCGCTCCTCGTGCACCCAGGCCTTCCTGAGGCCCTGCAGGGGCTTCGTTCCTCTCTTGGCATGACATGTAGCAGCTTGGCTCTGAGCTTTCGGAGCTCCCCGCGGGCTTCTGGGGTCGGATCTGGCCCCCCTGTCGGCGCATCCGGTGCCGCCCCTGGCGGGCGGGTCTGGCGCCGACCCAGACAAGCCGCCCTGACTTCCGAAAGGTCATGCCTGTGCGGCCCAGCGATTCCTCCAAGGACCTACGCGGCGCAGCGGAATCGAAGCCCGCGCCAGGCACCCCTTGAGCAGCGCTGGCGGTAGCCACCCATAGTCCCAGACATCCGACGCCACGATTGTGTTCACAACGTGGCCCCCCAGCGAAGAGCCCTTCCCAGAAACCAGCTGTTCATCCCGATCTGCTTCTTGATCGCCAGGTCTCCATGAAGCAAACGGGTCTTTCCCAAAATAGTGTTTGCATTTATGGGTTCTCCCTTCTGTTCTAGGGAACTGGGGGGTTGTCGGTCTGGAGGCTGTGTTGTCGCCGTCAACGCCTCGTCGCGGCCTCGTCGCCGCCCGTCGTCTGGGCCTGATTGTCGGTCTGGCGGCTATGTTGTCGCCGTCGCCGCCCCGTAGCCGCCGAAATAGCACAACGTCGATAGCATCGCATAAAATCTCCTTTCTAAAAATGAGTTCGGATCTACCACCACCACCCCTGGCTTTCGCGGCCCCCCTTCGGAAATTACGATGTACATGCGATCCTGCCCCATGGTACGCTTCACATATAAAGCCATACCATCCCAGGCAGGCTAGTACCGCCCCACCCTCATCCCGGACAAGCAATGTCATGCACGCACAGTCGTTTCTCAAAAATCATCAGTTCGCAAGAGTACTTTTCAAACAATGGCACAAAGTCCACACGCGCGCGGTTTCGCGCGTGCTTGCCGAAATCCTTCAAAGCCTCAGGTGTCGTAGCGATTTAGACATCGAGGTTCCTGGCAATTTGTCCAATGGCGAACAGGGTTTCGCAACACTACGTTTCAAATAAAGGCTGCGCGCGCTCTTGCGAATTCTTCCAGGAAGTGCAGGTGTTCGGACATGTTCATCAAATGCGACCAAGCGGGCTTATCGCGCGCGCATGTCGGAATCATTCGGAGGCCTTCGCGCGTTTGTTGGGGGGGCGCGACCCTTGCGAAACAATGCCATGCTGGCCACTCGCCCGCGTTGGCCGCGCGCGCATGTCAAAATCTTTTCAAAAATTGCACCATCATCGTGATCGGCGCGACCAGCATTGGCGCCGTCATTGGCCTTGCCGTCGTCATCCTCGTAATCGTTTCCATTTCCGCAATATGATCTACGTGTCTGCTTTTGTCGACGTCGCCATGATACCGCTCCCGCCCGAGTCACTGGCTCGCAGAGCCCAAGCGCCAGCGCGGCCCGCGAGACGCGCTGACGACGACGAACGAGGAGGGCAGAGGCAGGAAGCGGGCGGGCGGGAGCGGGGGGCGTGAGGCGGGGAACGCGGGGCGCGCTGCCTTTTCAAAGCGAGGGCCCAGCACCACAGGATGGTCAGGAGTCAGATTAGGCTCCATCCTCGAGCCCTGGGAACACTGGACGTCCGCCGAGAACATGATGTGTTCAACCTGCGGCCCCGGAGGTCTCGACCGCTTCCCCGGGGTAGTTTGCCGTCCCGGATCCATTGTTACAGTCGGGCTGCTGCAGAAGGAACACTTACTTTTCGCAAGGGGCTCGGGCGTTCTTGAGGTGTGCATGCGTTCCTTGTTTTTTTGGCGGCGAGCCCCTCCAGTGCCCCTTCGGACTTCGTGGGCGTCTTTGGAAAAAAGGGGCCTCGTTCCTTGTATGTCGCTCCTCGATTGTAGTGGTCCTGGTGCCCGAAGACGGCCCCCGACAGCAGAAAGGGAGGAAATGCGCTTGGATTCAGAGGATCGTATCGTCGGATCTCTTCTCGGGGCGAGGTTCGGTGTCTGTTCATAGGGACCTTGGGCGGCGATATTGAAATCAGCTGTTCCTGCATCTGGACTGCAGTTGAATTGTCTTTTTGGCAATTTCATGCTCCTTCTCGCCCTTTTTGTTCCTCCTCCCCCTCCTCGTTCTTCTCGTCTCCCTTGTCAAGGGGCGCATCCAGTCCAAATCCAGTCCCAAATGCAGCCCAAATCGGACAGCGCCGAGGGCCACGTACGGTCAGGATTTTTTTGATAGCCTGCCGCTCCGCCGATTCTAGCCCACCGCGCTGCGGCGCGACACGCTATCCACGTCCCAGCCCCGAGGCGTCAATGTCCAGAGCTTTTCCGACCCTGCCGCCCCACGGAGCGGAGCGACACACAACCCGCTCAAAAGGCGTGGCCCAGGCCGCCGCCGCCGCGACACGCGAAGCAAAAGTTCCCGACCGCAGGCTTCCATGGAACAGACACCAAAGCCAGACCCCCGACGTCATGTTTTTTGTTCCAGAACGTCGACCCCCAGAGGTCTCGACCCATTCCCAGGGAACGGTCCCTTGTCCAGAGTCGTTACGTGACGGCCCCGAAGCCCGATAAGGGCCCCTGGAGGCTTTAAATAGCGAAAAATATGTTGTACTTTCGGGGTCTGCAACACCCGACAAAATGATTTGCTCATGACCCGAGGGGCGAGCATGTTTCACAGGGAAGTCCATGATGAGATTGACGATGAGGCTATGATGCCTCTTTTGATTCTGAGCCGGCTATGATGCCCACTCGTGCCCACCCCGTCCCGTCTTCAGCGACTATCCCCCCATGACGGCGGGATGGGAAAACGGCCCGCCACCGACGGATGTCAGGGACCCACGGCAGCCGCTCGTAAGACCGGGCGCCGCCGCCGAAATCGCGCTGGGCCGCGGGCCCGCGCTCGGCGATCTGCCTGTGCCGCGCGCCTGCAGAGTCTCGGGCGGCTCGCGGGCAGAGTGCATGCAGGGCTCGGCGGGGGGGGGTCGGGGGCAACGGTAGGGGGGGCGCCTCGAGATCTCGAGATGAAGTTTCGAGTTCGAGGTCGAAGGTTTTCGGGCGTGTTCGTCGGTATTCGGCGGCTTTCCAGCCTCGGCATGGCTTCCAGCAGCTGCGCCGCGCTGAGCGCATTCTGGGCGCGCTCGGGTGGTTCCGAACGGCCGCCGGAAGCCCGAGTTATGGCCCGAAAACCATGAGGCACGGGGGTGGGCTCAGAGGGGGACGCATCGACCCCCAATCGACCATTGATCGCCAACAGGGGCCCGATAGCTAGCCCCGCCCAGGAACGTGCGGTTTCGCTATCAGACGCCTATCACCGACCCATCGGCGATGCATCGCCGATTCCAAGGCGATGTTCCCTCCCCTGAGCCAGTCTCTCCCTATCGATGCCCCTCAGGGGAAGCAGTGCGCCGCGAGGGAGAGGTATGAGCCCAAAAAGAGTTGGCGCCGCGCTCTGGAGCTGTTGTGATTAGCGTTCTGAGAGCACTCGAGGGGAGGAGGGGGAGGAGGAGGGGGAGGAGGAGGAGGAGGGGGAGGAGGAGGAGGAGGAGGAGGAGGAGGAGGAGGAGGAGGAGGAGGAGGAGGCGGATGAGGAGGAGGAGCAGCAGGAGGAGCAGCGGGAGGAGGAGGGGCTCGGGCGGGCGGTACGGGGGAGGGAGGGGGAAGGAGGAGGAGGAAGGAGGAGGCAGAGAAAGAGGAGGAGGAGGAGGAGGAGGAGCAGCAGCAGGAGGAGGAGGAGGAGGGGAGAGAGGAGTGCGAGGGCGAGGAGGGGGAGGGGGAGGAGAGAGGATTGCTGAGCTTTGCTTCCTCCGCGACTTGTGCTTCTCTCGGGGGGCCTGGTTGCTTGGATTTCAAAGCGTTTCGATGGTTTGGGGGTGCTCGCTGGCGGTTGGGGGTTGTTTGAGCGGCCCAGGGCCCCCCAAAGCGACTTCAGAACTCTGCAACCCCATGGCATGTTCCACACGCTCCAGGCACAATTTCCTGGGGGGGGACGGGGGACCATGGGGAGGTCGGCTCACACAGCAGCTCCTCTTGCCCTCTCCCGCGGCGTGCCTTCAGGTCGAGCCGGAGGTGGCATGCATGTCAACCCTCATCAAGAACATGGTCGAAGACAGCGGTGGGACCTTCACCCCCTTTAAGCCTTAGCTGCCCCGATACGCCCGTTCGCAACACGTGCCGTGTTCAGAGCGTTCGTGTTGGCATGTTGCGTGTTGATTCGGCACGTGCTGGCCCACGTTGTGGCGAAAGTGTCGCGCCAGACCTGTCAGTCCACGTGTTGAGCTCCGTGACGAGTTGCGAGTTGCGTATCAGGGCCGCTAGGTTCCCCCCTTCTTCATGAGAGAGATACGGATGCAGGGCTGGGGATGTAGGGATACGTCGCCGCGCCGTGTGTTTCGACGCGCGGCCGTCCGTCTTTGGGAGGGCGTCTCGGCCACCAGGGCGAAGGCCACCTCGGGCGCGGTGGGTTCGCCGTGGGGTTTGCAGCGTGGCGGCCTCGCCAACCTGGGGCGCGGGGCGCAGGGCTTGCCGTGGGCTCGCCGTGGTGTCGGCGTCGTCAGCTGGGGCGCGTCGAGAACAAGGGGTGCGGCGACGGATGGGGCGTTCCAAAAAGGGCATTTTGCCTTCGAGGATAGAAGGGGCGCTGTCACGTCTTCCGCGGCGGAGGGTGGGCGGAAGTAGGAAAATGCGCCCCCACGAGATGAAGACGTTTTTGGGTTTCAGCGTCTTCGAAATCGCCCTGTATGGATACATGGCTGGGGATATGAGGATACACGTCCCCAGGCCGAAAGTTTTTTCCTATTGGACTAAAAAAATGAGAACATCAATGGATCCAATTGGATCCCTTTTCGGGTGTGGGAGAGTTTCGTGGGATGGGGGTCGGGATAGGGATAGGGATAGGGATAGGGATGGGGGAGAGTATGAGAAAATCGTCCGGCCTGCGGAAGTAGGGATGGGGGTCGGGATAGGGATGGGGATATGCGGGCAGTGATAGGGGCACCAACGGGCTGGCCGCACTTGTCAGATGAGGCTCTAGCGGTGCTTATTGGTTTCTTCAGACGATGCGAGGAGTTGCTAACTTGGCCTGCAGAAAGGTGCTGGTCGACGATGTGTCGCATCCCGAAGGCTGACGAAGGTCATCGCTTGATCGCCGTGGTGCACACATTCCAGCGCGTATGGGGCCGAGCCAGGCGAGAGAGTTCCCGATCTTGGGAGGAGCGGAATCGGTGTGAGAATGTCTGGGGCAATCGGCCCCGCTACATTTCCTCCGACAGTGCGTTCAGCCACAACTTGGAGTCTGAGATTGCGGTGCTGCGGGGACACTTCAGCGCTACAGTATTGCTGGATCTTACCAAGGCGTTCGACCTGGACGGCCATCGCAGTTGTTTCGTGAAGGTCTCGTGCTGGGCTACCCTCCTCGGATGCTGTATATGTTAATCCAGATGTATCGCCAGCCGAGACGACTCAAAAGCTATGGCACCTTCTCTGATCCGCTGCAGGTGGAACAGGGAATCCTGGCAGGCTGCACCCACGCGGCTTGCTTGTTGGAGGTGCTGACATTGCGAGCCCTGCTCCGTGTTCGCGAGGTACATGGAGCGCTGGTGCCTCGGGCTCTGGTTGATGATGTCTCGGTGCAGTATGTGGGCCCTGACCCTGCAGGTGTACGGGCGCTTGACGTTGCAGTTCGGGCATTTCAAGACGATTCGAGGGTGCTCGGCTCTTGCTTCAACCACAAGAAATCAGGGGCTGTCGCGGCCACTACCTCGTCACGCAGGCTGATGCGGGGCTCGAAGTTCCAGCAGAGGCCTTGGATGAGGAACTTGGGCCACGAGACCATGGTGGTACGGCCGCTACGCTTGCAGGAGAAGGCGCGCGTGCGGGAGCTGCAGAGGAGGCGGCGACGGTTTCACATCTTTCGGCAGGTCGCTGGACGCAAGAATTCGGTGCTGCGGCGTGCGGGTGCTCAACCAGCTGTTGCTCATGGTGCAGGCGTGTCTGGAATGAGTGATGCTGCTCTGGCTGTGGCAAGGTCTGTGGCTGCAACGATGGTTGGAGCGCCGCCGAAAGCGCACAAGACGGCATACTTGTATTGTCAGTGGCAGGTAAGGTACGATTCTATATTTGATGCGACGACTGCGATTCTTTGTCGGTTGCATTGTTTTATCTGGGACAACCGAGTCTCGCTCAGCTCGCTGCGCCATGCATGGTCAAGGTTAGCGGCGCGGGCGAGCTCAACAGGCTTTACTTGGGGGGCAGTTCGAGGGCCATTAGGTGCAGCCTTGCTGACGCTAGGCCGCATCGGCTGGGCATTCATTCGCCCTCATCACTGGCGGGACGATCAGTTTCATGATTATGATTTGCTCCGCACGGCTCCTGCGGACATGAAGGTGCATTTGGAGGAGTCAATCAAGCGCTGGCAGGTGTAGAGGCTGACGCACCATCTGCCGGTGCAGGAGTCCACTCATGATGTTTGGGAGCGTGCACTCCGTCTCGGCCTTCGTGATTTGAGGCCAGCGCAGCTTGGAGCGCTGCGCGGGCTGTGGGCTGACCGCTACCCCACGCCTGCACGTCCCGCCGCCTGGGGCAAGAACATTCTCCCACACTGCGCTGCCTGCCAGTCGAAGGACGGGTCCTACGGGCATGTGTGGAGCGATTGTCCTGCTCTGCTGCACCTCGATGAGAGCGAACTGGCGGGTGATTTCGAGGTTCTGTGTGAGTGACACGCTTATCATCGGGATGCGCTGCGGGCCATTGGACACCGTCCCCTGTCGGATCCCGATTTTGAGGGCCTGTATTTAAGCTATGGAATTCCGAAACTGTCCGTCCAGCTTCCATCACCACCTGACGTGTGACTGGGGTCCTGTGGTCTTCGGGCATGGAAGCGCCCAGAGCCCAGCGGTGCCTGAAGCTAGGCGGGTAGGTTGGGCAATCGTCCAGCTCAAGGAGGAGCTTCTACCTGCGCGGGCGGTCTATGGTTCCCTGGAGGGTGCGGTCCAGACTGTAGGCAGAGCTGAGAGAACCGCCCTTCTGCAGGCAATGGAAAGGCACCCGACCATGCAAGCTTTCGTTTCTGACCTGTTGTCCCTGGCCCAAGAGGGTCAATCTTGGGATGCTGAGCTGGCGCGCGGCATGACAAAGTATGCTGCCATCCGGAGGAGTGTTCTTTTTCGCAGGCCACGCGCAGGCCTCCTGAGCACCCTCCTCCCACTTTCGTTTGGACTCCCGCTCACCTCACTCTTGAACAGGTTTTAGAAAGAAGACTGGATCCGATCACCTGGATCGGCAATGCATGGGCTGACATGTTTGCGAAGTTAGCCTCGACCCGTGCGATGATCGCTCGGACGATGGCGGAGGCGATCGCGGGGGAGCTTAAGTTTCATTGTTCCACAATTGAGTACATCTCTTGGGCTGCCGCCAGACTCGCGAGGCTAAGGCGCTGGACGGACCTCCAGCCCCCTCCGAGTGTAGCTCGGCAGCAGCCCCCTCCGAGACTCAGTCTTCATGGGCACAGTTTTTACCTTGATGAGGTCTCGGGCGAGGTACGTTGCGTGTCATGTTTTGCTGGGGCGTGGACCCCCAGCACGCTGACCCACTTGTGTAACGGCCCTGCCAAATTTTGTCGGCCCACCGCCCTCTCGGCCTTGAAGGGCCAGGAGTGGTGCCATGTTCGCGTTCGGGCGAGGCCTGTGAACGCTGCTGCGGTGGCTGAGGCAGACCAGGCCCTTGTGGCTGCTGGCCTGCTCCCGCCGCCCCCCTTGCCTGGAAACTCCGCGGGGGGCGAGGGGCGACGCGGCCATCCGTGAATCTGCCGAGCGTGGTCACACGATTGAATGGCACGGTCGTGTTATGATCTGCTCGTTGTGTGCTGGATTTGTTGTGCTACCGCATGGAGTTCCGCGGTCGCTCCAGACCTCTTGTCTGGGGGCGTCCAAAGTGCCATCCACGCGGGACAAGCAGCTTCGGAAGCTCTCGAAGGCCTCGAGAGGCCTCCATCCGACCACGGGTGTGAGTCTCGGGGAGCCTCTCCCTGCTGCCCCCTCTCCTCCGTTTCCCCCGTGCCCGTCTCTCTGCTCTGTACACAGGGCCCTCCGATTTGAGGAGGCTGCTCTTTCGGGGGTGGGAGTGGCGGCGGCGGAGCGGGTGGGGGGGGTCTCGCGGGGGAAGGAGAGCACTGATGAGTCTGATTAATTAATGAGGTCGGCCATGACGACGGGTGCCCCGTGGTCTCGGCCGACGCCGCCGCCGCCACTGGGGGCAGCCATCGCCTCAGCCTGTGGGTGTCCGTTACCCTGCGGACGCTCTCCAGTCGGCGCCCACCTCTTTTTCATGGCGCCAACATCGCAGACCGGATTCCGCACGGAAAACAACAGGATGGGCCCGGGCTGTCCTGGAGAATTTCGCTCCGGATTTCCTGATGAATGTCGTGCGGAGTGTTGGTTTCTTTGATACGGGAGAATGGAAACAACAAAAAATCCACGTGAAATTTTCGGGGTTCTGCTCTAGCAGAAGTCCATGCAAAAATCCGCTGCAGCACGTCTGCAAGATCGGTGCAGTAAGACGTCTTCCCACCCCTCTTTCAAGCAGCGGCGAGGCGTTCTGACTCGCCTACAGGCCCACCAGAGAATGTTTGAAGATCCTTCTGTGGTTTGCACGAAATGTTCTCAGAACATGTCTGGTCGACACCATCTTGTTTAATGCATCGGGCTTATGCTCTAGGATCATTGTTTTCGGTCCTAGAAAAGACCTTTGTTCCGAGAGCATGTCGCTGCATGCCTACAGGAAACGGGTACGGTCGGTCCCTGCTCAACACCGCTCTAGCCGTGAGTTTTTTGGCGAGGTCGTGGTTCGAGATTTCTGGACGCCGTCGTCGGTCCTCATAGGCTTTCTCTGCCAGTGGTTTTTTCCAGCAGCCGCGCCTCGGCGAGAGCAATCCGGGGGTTGCCCCGATCGTCCCGAACGGCCGCCGGAGCCTCGATTTTCGGCCCGAAAACCGAGCCCCCTTGCGTCGCGACAAGTCACGGCGCGAGGATCCTCTGCAGCGTTCGGCCTCCAGGGGGCTTCGCCGGGCCCGTCCGAAATGGCACCATTTTCGAACGGTCCTGGGGAAGGGGTCCAGACCTCTGGGGGCCCCCGCTGCGAAAGAAGCACTACGTCGGGAGATCTGGGCCTCCTCCTCGGCGGCAGTTTTTTGCCATCCCCATCGATATGAACAGCCATATCGCGCGCTGCATGACAGTTAATTTGCACCCCAGACCCCTCTCGAAGCGTCCGTCCTGAAGGTACATTGAGCGCAGCGCTGTGAGAGAAAGGTTGACAGTCAAGGCTTTGAAATACAGCCATCTCGGGCTCAGGAGGGGCTCGGGTTGTCGGGCCGCTCCTTAGATCTATGTCGTGGAACTTGTGTCTGGCCTAGGCCCACCGCAGCCAGAAAAGCTCGGTCGTTCTTCATTACGCGCTCCTCATGGTAGCGACCAGTGTGTAAAAAAGCCCCAAAGGGGTGGCTCCATGTTCTGGGTTCCATCTTTCCGGAGCGGGCCATGCGGTGCGCCCCTTCGGGCAGATAGTAACGGAGGGCAATTTTCATGGAGGGTGAAGAAAGAGACTTGAAATAGGGCCTTGTAGAGCTTCCCTATGGAGCCAGCAGGGGCCCAAAGGAGAAGGGCACGATCTGGGGGCCCTTTCCTTCCGGTTGGCCCAAAAGGGGGTCCAGCGACGAGGGGGTGGTGCAAAAGATTCGATGCAATAGATCTGCCGGGTTGCAATATATTGTAGTGGCCTTCGGCCAGTGCCGCCGATCCGGGTCGCATGGGGTGCCCCCCCCCACACACACTGGGCGGCGATACTTCGCCGACAGAGGCGCGCGCACGCGCTCGCAGACGCTACGCGCATACACGCACACACACACACACACACACACACACACGCGCACGCATGCACACACACAGACAGGCACACACACACACACACACACACACACACACACGCACACACACACAAAACAATACAACACAACACGACACGACACGACACGACACGACACGACACGACACGACACGACACGACACGACACGATACGACGCGACACGACACGACACGACACGACACGGCACGACACGACACGACACAACACAACACAACACAACACAACACAACACACACACACACACGCACACGCACACACAACACCCCTGGAAACCGCTGGACCCCTTCCCCCCGACCCCCGGCAAACAAAGCGTTTTGAAGCGATTCCTAAGGAAATCCAATAGTTTTGAAAGCAAACCCACGCCACCGGACCCCCCCCCCCCCCCACGCCACCAGAACCCACGCCACCGGAACCCCCTCCCCCCCACGCCACCAGAACCCACGCCACCAGAACCCTCCCCCCCCACCCTGTCCCCGACAAACCAAGCGTTCTGAGGCGGTTCCTAAGGAAATTTGATGGTTTTTAAAAAAGCAAACCCACGCCACCGGAGCCCCCCCCCCACGCCACCAGAACCCACGCCACCGGAACCCCCCGCCCCCCTACGCCACCAGAACCCACGCCACTGGACCCCCTCCCTCCCCTTTCCCGGCAAAGCCACCCCGGTCACCCCTACCCCCTTAACTCACATGCCGGATCGGCGGATTTAGGGCGTGCAATAATTACGTTCTGGTGCGCAAATGTATTGCTAGGTCTTCGCGTACAACACATTAGTTGCAACACAATGCAATACAATCTTCTGGCGCAATACATTTGCACTACAATTGCCCCAAACTTATTGCACCACCACCTTTCAGCTGGACCCCCTTTTGGGTGAACCAAATCTCTTCACCCCCCGTTCAGGTTCCCCCCCCCTCCTCCTCCTCCTCCTCCTCCTCCTCCTCCTTCTCCTCCTCCTCCTCCTCCCCCTCCTCCTCCTCCTCCTCCTCCTCCTTCCTCCTCCTCCTCTCCTCCTCCTCCTTCCCTCCTCCCTCCTCCCTCCCCCTCCCCCTCCCCCTCCTCCTCCTCCCCTCTCCTCCTTCTCTCCTCCCCTCCTTCCTCTCCTCCTCCTCCTCCTTCCTCCTCCCTCCCCTCTCCTCCTCCTCCTCCTCCTCCCTCTCCTCCTTCCTCCTCCTCCTTCCCCCCCCCCTCCCCCCTTACCGCCCGCCCGAGCCCCGCGGGCGGCCCTCGCAGGGCATCGCGCAGGGCCGCCGCGTCGCCTCGCGCAGGGCCCCCGGTCTGCTGCGTGCGGCGGGGCGGCCCCCCAAAGCAGGGGGGCGGCACGAGGGGGTGCGGCCTCTCGGGCGCGGTTCGCTTTAGAGCGCCCTGGGCGTTTGTGTCCGCGCCTTCTACGTTGGGCTCTTCGCTGACAACGCTTGAAAAAAGCGCTACGTTTGTTTTGGCGTTTTAGGGCAGTGGTTTGGGGGTCTGTTTTGGCGCTTGTTTTGCGTTATCAGGATGCACGCGTTAAAACAATGTTTGGAAACGCTAAAACAGCACAACATTGTTTTAGGGTTTTGTTTTGAATTCTTCTTGAGACCTGAAAACGCTCAAACAATGGTTTCCGAGACGCCGAGCTGAATATGCTTAAAAAAACACCCTGGGCATACATTTAAGGCGAACCAAGCTCTCGGGGGACAGCGAGGGGCCTCGTGGATTAAGTCGGGCCTGTCCCTGTACAGGAGGGATTTTCAGTCAAAAAAAAGATCGGGACAAGTTTTTAATTATATGTTGACTACTTTGAGGTATTTTTGGCTTTTCATTTTCCGCCCAAAATCGACCTGTTGGAGGACATGCCCGACCTGACGTTTGGCAGACGGAGGCGCTTCTTAGGAGGCCCCCAGAGGCTTCTGAGAAGGCTTCTGCCCAGACCCTCCGGCGCTGTGAGAAGAGCACGGCGGGAGGGGATTCGCCATTTTCGGTCCCTGGTGGCCCTTACTGGGCCTCGGGACCGTCAAGAAACGCATCGGGATGAAAAACTGATCCCGGGGAGGGGGTCCAGACCTCAGGGTCGACGTGGTGAAAAAATCACGTCGTCGAGGGCCTGGGTGAGAGGCCTGGCGGGCGTCTACGGAGTCCCTTCTGCCATGTGTCCTGGTCAGATGTTGTCCTAGTATTGGCCTCGTCTCGCGTAAGGTCGCTGCGCCATCTCGCACAGGACCCCCATTTGCTTCGTCGTGTCGCTGTCGGCGTGAAGCAGAGGGTACGGGGCAGGGAATGACGAGGAGATCCCCCTGCCCAACGTGAAGACGGCGCCGCGTTCTCCTCTCTGCAGCTTGTTGGTTGCCCCTGCGCCTGCGCCTGCGCTATCGGTCGCTCCGCTGACGCTCGGTGAGGAGGAGGGAGAGGAGGAGGAGGATTGGATTGGATTGGATTGGATTGGATTGGACTGGATTGGACACTTCGAGAGCAAGGCTGGGCCTTCCAGCAGCGAAGGCTGGTGGGAAGGCCCTGCGCCGCCCCGCGGCACGCGGCTCCCCGCCGACCCACCTGCCGGAAAACCCACCGCCCACAGAGGGCACGGCCGCCGAGCGCCCGCGCGCACGCCCTGCCTTTCGGCCCGCGGGGGCGAGGAGGGGGAGGAGCCGCCCCCCCCGCACGCAGCCGCCTTCCTCCGTCGGAGGTCCGGCGACCGCCAGCATGGATTCGGGGGGCGTGGATGGGCGGCGCGTCCCGCTTCCGTGGGGCATCGCGGCCTCTCGCCGCCGAAGGCGGCGGCACCGGCCGCACTTTGGGGAGGGCGCCTCCCCCGACCCATGGATTTGGGCGACCGCGCGCGGCAAATCCACGGATCGCTGCTCCACGTTGGCGCGCCCCCGATTCTGCAGCTCCGGTCCGTCCTCGCCCTTGTACGTGCCGCTCCTGGGAGGAGCGCGACCGAGGGAGTCCCCAGGGCCTGCCGCCGCCGCCGAGAAGCGCGCAAGTCTGTTATTGCTTGATTACTTCATAAACCATTATCCAAAGGATATAATTTTTCCTTTTAAGTTTTACACATAGAAGCATGAATTTCTCGCTCCAGACATCATGTGCTCCCTACCTAGGCTCTGCCTAGAAGGGTTCTTACTCTCTGGGCTTGAAAAGGCCGGGCAGTGTTGCCCGCCCCGGGCGGTTCCCCCGGCATCCGCCCCGCGGTTCCCCCAGCTACGTCCCCTTAGCTTAGCGTTGCTTATCTCATCTTAACTTAGCGTATTTCATCTTAGCTTAGCTTAGCTTCATCTTAGTTCAGGTTTAGATTAGCTTAGCTTACCTTCGTCTTGTCTTGTCTTGTCTTGTCTTGTCTTGTCTTGTCTTGTCTTGTCTTGTCTTGTCTTGTCTTGTCTTGTCTTGTCTGGGTCTTCGGCACCAGGCCGTTGAGTTCCAGCTCGAAGCCGAGCAACCGTTACGACAAATTCGGCATATTTTATTTTCAATCCGTTCCATTGCAACTTCGGCTCTATCATCTTGCAGCGCGGAGAGCGCTTAGCACCGAGGCCACATCCCACCTTAGCAGAGTGGTGGGCCGCGCATAACAGCAAAAATCGTCCACGTCTTGAGTCAGTTACTGCACCTCATTCCTTGTACGTCCCATACTTACTTCCAGTACTGATTCGGCATGGCTGACCAGGCACCCCGCGGAGAACCTTTGGGGACTCAGCGCTCCGGCAGGCGACAGTTGCTGGGCGCAGAGGGTGTTCGTGATGGCGCTGAGGGCCCACCTGCGGCCGCGCGCCCAGGTGAAGGGGAGGCGGGTGACCGCTCGCGGTCGCCGCCGGCGGCCGATCCATTTGGCAGGCTGGCCCCTGCCTCCGCTTTGATGCCGAGCGGGCCCCAAGCGGGAGCCGCGCGCGCGGGCGACGACAACAACCTCAGCGACCTCATCGAGAAGGAGCTTAAGGATTACATGAATTCCGACCTGAAGACCTCCATCAAGAAGGCCAGCACGACCCTGGCCGCCAAAATCGAGAGCCTCCAGAAGACCAACGCCCGCAAGACCAAGCTCGAGGCCGAGCTGCAGTCCCTGCGGGGCGGCACGATCCCAGCCGGCGTGAAGCCGGCAAACTTCGGGTTCGAGACCGACCTCCTGGACACCGTCACGCTCCAGGACACGAGCTACGACATCCGCTTCGACAGCGGGTGCACCATCCGCGACGCCAAGCGCAAGCTTCACATCTTCTACCTGGAGAAGTGCAGGGAGCTGGACCTGCGCGTCGTGGAGGAGCAGCGGACGCGCCTCCGGCAATACACAAGGAAGGACAACTTCATCGACCGCCTGCTGGCCGAGAGAACCTCCATTGACAGCGGATGGAACACCCTGGACTTGGACTTGGAGGTCGGCGACGGCCCGCACGGCGTCTCAGAGAGCTCCCTGCGCGCGAAGGGCGAGGCCATCTACACGAAGCTCGTGGACCGAGCTGTGAAGGCCAAGAAGATGGAGGAGGAGAAGCGGAAGCAAGCGGAAAACAGGCAACTCAAGGTGGCCACGGCCCTCCTGGAGAAGAAACCGGCCGACCACCTGAGCACTGCCATCGATTTGAAGCTGAGAGAGGCCTTGAGAAAGCGAACGGACGGATCTTCGAGCGCTTCAGGCGCCAATGCCCACCTGGAGGCGTCCATCCGGCAGCTCCAGAAAGGTGACAACATTCAGCCCAGCGACCTGGCAGACGTCATTGCAAAAAACTCCTTGGCCCCCGCCTCGAGCGGGGGCGTGGGGGCTGGCAAAAGCAAAGCCAAAGGCAAAAACAAGACAGTCGGAAAGGGCAAGGCCGGCGGCAAAGGCAAAGACAAGCCGCCCTCGACTCCCTCGCAGCCGCCTGGCAAGGGCTCGAGCAAAGGCAAAGACAAGTGGAAAGCCTCGAGCAAAGGCAAAGCCAAAGGCAAATCCAAAGGCAAGACAGGCAGAGGGCGTGGCAGCTCGAGAGGCGGCGGCAAAGGTCGGGGGAACGGCCGCTTGCAGACCTGGTGGCAATGAAGTTCCTCACCCTGTGCAGCGCGATGTCGCCCGCTGACCTCGCCGTCCTGTTCGACACAGGGCGCGGCAAGCCTGGGTGGTACATGGCGGACTTGACCCAGAGGGTCGCCTGCACGCCCCCCGCTGGAGCCATTGCCTGGCCCTTGGAGTTCCTGTTGAGGCGGTATCATCGAAAACATGTGTTTTCTAGCAGCCGACCTCCGTCCCTAAGGGACATCGGCTCGAGTTTGTACATCTGGGAGCACCGTCTCCGCTGGCGTATCGTAATGTCTGATTCTGAATCCAACCAGTGGCATTTTCTGCGCTCCAGGCGCCAAGTGCCGCACCCGTGTCCGATGACTTTCAATCTTGCCGTCGAGAATTTCATCTCTGACACTAAACACGAAGTGTTTGAGGAGTGCAGGCGTGCGAGGCATCGGGTTTCATCCCTCGGCCGCCCCACCAATTTGAACGGGGTTGCTGAGCTGGCGCTGGATTTGCTCCGTAATTCACCAGTCGGCGCTTGCATCACTGACAAGGACGGTGGTTTTGCCGCGCTACCGAAGGCCGCCATCCACGAAGAGAAACTCAGAGTTCTGGCTTCTGATTTTTACTCCCGCGCAGCATGGCACGAGGCATTTGCGGTGGAGGCGATGACTGAATATTGTGAGGCCGCCCAGAGCTTCGACGACGAAGACCTGGTGAAGGCCCTCCTGCATGATTATCGTTCTCTGCCCACGCGGCTGTTTTCTGTGCTTGCCCTGACAGTGAAAACTCACAAGCCTGCCGGGCAAGTTACCTGCAGGGCGCTTCATTGTAGTTCGCGGCATCCCATGCTTCCGGGCATGCGCTGGGTAGCGTGGAGGTGCAGACAGGTTCTCCAACGGTTGCCGCACTTGCTAACTAATACAGAGCAGCTGCAACGTCAGCTGTCGGCCCTTACGTTGCCTCGGGGTTGCGTGTTCTGCAAACTTGACATCAAAGACTTTTACATGTCAGGCGAGCATGGCCTTCTCATTAACGAGTGCGCGAGGCACATCGCTGAGGGCCGAGAGCATTTCCGAGCCATGTTGTCCAGCATTGTCCGTAACCAATATGTATGTCTGTCTGACGACTTTGACGCACACCCGTTCGTGTACAGGTTCCTTCGGGGCACCGGTATGGGCTTGTGCTGCAGTGGCGAAGTCTCGGATCTCGTGTTCTACAGTACGGTCGAGGAGCCGTTTGTGCTCCGTTCAGACATCAGGCGCGAGTACGGCATTGTTTTCTATGGCCGATTTCGCGACGACATTCTGTGCATCAGCTCCAGACCAGACCTGCTTCACGAGATGTTGCAACGCATGCAGGCCCTGAGCCGTTGCTTCGATCTGACGATCGATTGCATCGACCCTGTTCGCACGATCATGTTGGATCTCAGTCTTAGTTTTTGTGACAGAGGTGACAATGTTGCCGTGGAGCACGCGGTGCATGTGAAACCCACTTCCGTTTGGGTGCCGTTGTGTGACTCCTCGGCCCACCCGCCGCACGTACACGCATCCTGGCCGAAGGGTTTTGAATCCAGGTTGCGGCGTAGATGCACGTACCGCCGCACTGCCGACTCACATGTGGCTGCGTTCAGGGACCGTCTGCAGAAGGCGTGCCCAGGCCACATACATTTGCAAGATTATCCGAAGCCGTCGTCTATGACTCTCGCCCGCCCTCGCTCGCGGGTTCCACCTAGCAGGCTAATCGTTCCGTACAGGTTTGACTGGTCTCTTGCACGCATTCCCAGGGCGGTCAAACGTGCTTTCGTTCGGTGGAGACCGGATGACCACCTCAAGCTTCCATTCACGATGTGCCCACAAATCTCGTGGAGGCTGGGGGGTCGCCATTTGGCCCGCACCCTCACGAAGTATCAGCAAGATGATGCTGATGACATGTGCTTGTTTAAAATCTTTCGGAGGTGCTAGGGGTAGGTAGGAGGGTTCAGTCTTGTCTGGGTCTTCGGCACCAGGCCGTTGAGTTCCAGCTCGAAGCCGAGCAACCGTTACGACAAATTCGGCATATTTTATTTTCAATCCGTTCCATTTCAACTTCGGCTCTATCATCTTGCAGCGCGGAGAGCGCTTAGCACCGAGGCCACATCCCACCTTAGCAGAGTGGTGGGCCGCGCATAACAGCAAAAATCGTCCACGTCTTGAGTCAGCTACTGCACCTCATTCCTGGATTCGGGGGGCGTGGATCAGCGGCGGGTCCCGCTTCCGTGGGACATCGCGGCTTCTCGCCGCCGAAGGCGGCGGCACCGGCCGCACTTTGGGGAGGGCGCCTCCCCCGACCCATGGATTTGGGCGACCGCGCGCGGCAAATCCACGGATCGCTGCTCCATGTTGGCGCGCCCCCGATTCTGCAGCTCCGGTCCGTCCTCGCCCTTGCACGTGCCGCTCCTGGGAGGAGCGCGACCGAGGGAGTCCCCAGGGCCTGCCGCCGCCGCCGAGAAGCGCGCAAGTCTGTTATTGCTTGATTACTTCATAAACCATTATCCAAAGGATATAATTTCTTTTCTTTTAAATTTTACACATAGAAGCATGAATTTCTCGCTCCAGACATCATGTGCTCCCTACCTAGGCTCTGCCTAGAAGTGTTCTTACTCTCTGGGCTTAAAGGGCCGGGCAGCGTTGCCCGCCCCGGGCGGTTCCCCCGGCATCCGCCCCGCGGTTCCCCCAGTTACGTCCCCTTAGTTTAGCGTTGTTTATCTCATCTTAACTTAGCGTATTTCATCTTAGCTTAGCTTAGCTTCATCTTAGCTCAGGTTTAGATTAGCTTAGCTTATCTTCGTCTTAGCTTCGCTGATCTTTAGCAGAGCATAGCATAGCGTAGCATAGTATAGCGCAGCATCTCATATCATAGCATAGTATAGCATAGCATAGCGCAGCTTAACATAGCATAGCATCGTACAGCTTAGCATAGCACAGCGCAGCATGACATAGCTTAGCTTAGCATAGCATAGCATAGAGTAGCATAGCATAGCATAGCGCAGCATACCATAGTATAGCATAGCATAGCATAGCGCAGCATATCATGGCATAGCATAGCATAGCATAGCATTGCAACTAATGCTGCTTCCCTGGGGGCTCCAACTTCCAGGTAGGGTCGCACTGGGGTAACTTTATCAACCAATAGAACAATTAAATGTTGGGGATATGGCGCAAATGGAATAGGATATGGAACACCAAATACCTCGCAAGCATGTGCACCATGGCGGCGAGCAGGACCACCATGGCAAGGGAATGCCGAGAAGAGCGCACGCCGAACAACAACAACAACAACAACAACAACAACGACAACAACGACAATCACAACAACAACAACAACAGCAATCATTTTACCCGAACGCTCAGTGTTCTCCCCAGTGCCAGGGTTTTCTTGCGACACCAGCCAATACCCCCACTTCGTGGGGGGGCCGTTCAAGCTCTACCAAATATCCAAACGACTCTTCGAGACCACCCACACCCAGCTTCCCGCCCTATGACGTTGGGACACTTCACTTCGTGGCGTGCGGACGACCCTGGCTACTACACTGGCGTGGGGTACACACCCACAGAGGTTGATCACATCTGTTACATATGATGTGGTACACGGTACACGTGAGATGGTACGCAGTGCCAAGATAGTTGGTCACATTTTTGGGGCAAATTCGTGGGGATGCGATTACAGAAGTACATGTGTTACACTGATGTTATACAGTCCCAAGGATGACGCATGCATTGCTCATAGACTCATGGCGCTATGATCCTAACTCTCAGTGCCCAACGCGCGCGTGCACAGCCAGACGGAGGGAGAGAAACACATGTATACAAGGTTCGGCAGCACCTGGCCCTGGAAAGTCTTCTCGTAGGCCTCCACCACAGGACCTGGCACCACATCTTTGTATACGAAGGCATCTGGATACTCGAGTGCCAACCTGGCATGCCGTTCGTGTTCACCAAAAAATACCGACAGATTGTGCAAAGGCACAAACTCTTCCGCCACGCCCAAACGCTGACATAAGGATACACGCACAGCCTCCAAGCCAGAGCTGTCCCGGGCGCGACAGCCAACCGCCCATTTGTGGCCGAGCTTGCTGTCCAGAGAAACCAAGGAATACAAGAACTCCCACTCCTGTTGCTCTAGGTGGTCGCTGGTCCAGTATTCGCCACGTTGCTCGCGATAGCGACGATACGCTACGAGCCGCTGCGTGGTCCTGCAATCCACGAGATACTGCGCCAGTAACTGCTGTTTCACCTCCTCGGCCGAGACGCCCTTCTGCAGCTGCTCCAGGACAAACTCCCCGCATACGTGGCGATGTATGTCCTGAGCATTCTCCAGCAGTGCCAGCTGCTGGGAGGGCGCCTTCAGCCACTTCTCCAGGTTTGAACGATCTGCAAATACCCCGGTCTTCGCGCGATACTTGTCCACCAGCGCTCGCCCCCTCAAGCCTTCAACGTAATACCAGTACTGGAGGTCCCTGCGCGACAACGCGTAGACGGCGCAATTGCCATGTTTGGCAGCGTCTCCGAGTCGATACGTGCCGAGCCACTGTTGACAGGCAGTATAACCCGCCTCATACCCCCAGGCCTTCAGACGCACCTGCATATTCCGGTAATGGAGGTCAAGGCCCAGGTCGGAGACCTCCTCTCGATACCGCTTGCCGCATGCCGCCTCTACAGCATCCCCCGTCAGCAGCTTTATACAAACCACATCTGTGGAGGAAGAAGCTGCCGTGGCCTGCTGCTTCGATACGGGCTCCTCCCAGTCGACCGCGGCAGGCCGTTTGGCCACGCGGGCAGCTCCTGCGGCGGCTGGCCGTTTCAATACCCCGCCTGCGACCTGTGCCGCCGGGCGCTTCAATACACGCTTGGCGACGGCCTGGGCGGATGAAGCCGCCGCCTGCACTGAAGCGCCCACCGACGCATACACATCGCACCACTTTCTCAACACTGAGCGGGACACCAAGACAGCTTTCCGTCGCATACGCAACACGGTATGCAACGTGTGGTACTTCAGCCCTGGATATACAGCGCGCATGTGGTCACCAAGTGCCGCGTTGAGCTTTTCGGCCGTGTCATACTGCAAAGGTCCAGAGTCAGGGTGATACTTCACGTACCATTGCCTCAAAACCATACCGCTGACAGCGACGGGAGGATCGCTCTCCGAGAGAAGCTGCGAGAGGACCTCCGCAGCGGCCTCGTCGGCGAAGCTCTCCCGATACTGATTGAGTCGAAGACGCTCGCCCATACATTCCTCCACAGCTTGGGCAGTGTTCAATGCCCCCTTGGCGCCCCACTCCGTGCTGAGCCACTTCTGGCATACCCTGGCGTTAGCAGATACAGATAAATGTCCCAGGAGCCACTGCTTCAAGACGGCCCCGTCAGTGGTCCCCTCGGGCATGTCTTTGCGAATACGTTCTCCATACCAGGTCTCCAAGTGGCCAGCGTTCTGCACTTGGACAAGCGTGTCTTTGGATGAATACTGCAGTAGCCACGCCGTTGCGACCCTATCTGGCACATACAGTGGTGGATCCAACTGTCGGAGCGCCCGGCATAATTTGAAAGCGGTATTATACTCAATGCCCAGGTGGCGGATGGCAGAGCCGTGCTGCTCCTCCAGCTCCTTGGCGCTAGAAATACTGACCGTGCCAGTCACAACCCGATACTTGGCCCACCAAGTCTTGCACGCCTGGTGACTAGCATTGATACCCTTTGCCCGGAGCGCCTGATGCAAATAATACGCACTCTCGCAGTCGGCCAAGGGAGGCCGCGACAGCTCAGGGCCATACTGCTCGTGAAGGTCTTTCGCCGTCAAAGCCATGATCCAAGAACACAGGCGATACCTTGATCCGAGATGGCTACGGATATGTGCGTCAGCAGTCGGGGGCCTTCCTGGGGCCGCTTGGGGTCCTCTTGGGGAAGGGGGGAAGCCTCCTGGCGCGGTTTGGGGTCCACTTGAGAGCCTTTGGGGGGCTCCTTGGAACCATCTTGGGGCCTCTTGGGGGCTTATTGGACCCTCACGGCGGACTCTTGGGGCCTCTAGAACGCCTCCTGGGGCCATCTTGGGGGTCTCTTGGAGCCACCTTGGAGCCTCTCTGGAACCTCTTGGGGGCCTCTTGGAGTCCTCTTGAAGCCTCTTGGGACCATCTTGGGCGCCTCTTTGGGCCTCATGGACGCCTCTTGGGGCCATCTTGCGCGCCTGTTGGGGCCATCTTGGGTTTTAAAGATTCATCAAGAGACCGCGAATGGATTTCGAGATTTTTCGGATGAGAAAGTAGTGCGTTTTCATATGTTTTCTGAACATCGCATCTTGAAATTATTGAAAACCCATTGTGTTTGGCAGGATTTCGACATGCGCGCGCGGCGGCCGCGCGCATGTGCACTTCGTCTCATTTTTTGCAAGGGATGGTGGCCCTCGCAGGCGCGCAACCGTTGTTGGAGAAGTTCAAAGCACCTGAAGAAGTAGCACGCAAAGACCCTTTTGACAGAAATGTTTAAAAAGTGGTGTGTTTCCTATGAATCCGCAAGAGCGCGCGGAAGGACATGTTGACAATTTTTTCTTAAAAAACCATTGGGTTTTTGATGTTTTTATGTTAAAATCGCTACGAAACCTAAGGTTTTGGAAGGATTTCGTCTTGCGAGCGCGAATGTCCACTTTACCTTATTTTTTGCAAGGGATTCTTGAAATTTGATCAACTAAGAACAAGAATTTTCATTTTCTATTGTTTTTTGCAAGGGAAAACGAGCGTCAACAAAAAACCGGATCCGGGGGTAATCCACTTTTCTGAAGCTTTCGCAGAAAAATGATGAAAATGTAGCTGCGGCCTAGGTTTTGGGCGGGGGGCGTGCACCAGGGGGTCCAACAATAATAATTCTTTAGAAGTAATAGTGTTCAACAACACGGTCATCATGATCATGATGAGGCCCTCGAGCGCCGCCAGGTCTGGCAGCGGCTGTGTCCGCAGCCGCGGGCGCCCAAGGATCGGCGCTGCCCGAAAGCCATGGAACGGGCGGTCGCGAGCTCTTGCCCTCACTGGAGCCCGGAGGACCAGCAGGTCCCGCAGCAGCATGGCGAACACCTTCATACCTTCCTCCTTCACCACGAGGCGCCTCACGGACAGCAGGGGCACGACGGACTCCGCCAGGAAGCACCGGATGAACCGCGCCAGCACGAGCATCACGAGCCTGAGCGGCATCCCTGGATGCGTCAGCCCCTAGGGCAAGGCCGAGTGCAGCACCCATGCGGGCGGGCCGGCACCCCCGGGTGCTGCTCCAGGCTGCGGAAGCCCCGCAGCCAGGACTGCACGGCCCTCGCCTGCGCCCCAGCGGCTCGGGCACGGCGCTCCGCCGCCGTGCGACGAGGCCGCGCGGCCCGCCACGGCGGCGACAGTGCCCGAGGCGAGGGGGACCGTGCAAGAGGGGGCAGGAGAGCGGCGCGCGGAAGCGCCTTGGCGCGAGCTCGCGAGTCGGGGAGACTCGATCTGAGCCAGCGCTAGGAGGAGGGGAAGGAGGAGGAGGAGGAGGGGCAGGACCCTAGCATCCTCGCGTAGTGAAAACTCGCGACGGGAGGTTGTCTGCCAATTTCGGCTTCCGGAGGCTCTTACCGGACCGTGGAAAGATTACTCAGGATGAAGAGTTGATCCCCAGGGAGGGGTCCAGTCCTCTGGGGAGCCAAGTCTCGAAAAGTCACGACGACGGATGTCTGGCGAGGGGGAAGCAACCAGAAGAAGAGAAGCAGGGGGTGGATGAGCGAGGAGGAGTAAAGATTCAGGCGATGTCCTCTTCGATCCGATAGATCCGATTCGATGTCGATTTCGGCCAGCCTGATCCGATCGGATTCCGATATTTCGACGATCCGATTCGGCCCGATGCTCGTATGGCGCTGTTGTGTATCCTGGCGCAGCCAATGAAATTCGATCTCGAGTCCGTGCCGATGCAGCCGGTCCAACGCGAACTCCGCTTCGATCCGATTTCCCGATTCGATGCTTATGGATCTTGTCCAGGCCTCTGCATGATTGGGCCTCGGTGGGGCCTCCGGGAAACTTCTCGTCGCCACGGCTGGAGTCCCTTCGAACTTCTGGCCAGATGGCACCTTTTGGGGCAGCTCAAGGGCGTCGGTTGCCTCCAGGAGGCCCGAGCAGCAACAACAGAAAACCAGGTGCAGCGGGAGGAGCGGCGGCGACGACGACAGCGGCGGTCCAGCGAGCTCGCTGCAAGTCGGACCACATCGGGTGCTCCTCGGCCACGTTCCAGCCGACTCTTAAGCGGATTGTTGTCGCCGGGGTGCAGAGGAGGAGGAGGAGGAGAAGGAGGAAAAGAAGGAGGAAAAGGAGGAGGAGGAGGAGGAGGAGGAGCGGAAGCCGGGGAAGGAGGAGGATGGAGGACGAGGAGAAGGAGGAGGAGGAGGAGGAGGAGGAGGAAAAGAAGGAGGAGGAGGAGAAGGAGAGAAGGAGCCGGAGGAGGGAGGAGAAGGAGGAGGAGGAGGAGGAGGAGGAGGAGGAGCAGGCGGGGCAGGTGGTGCGTTTTACTCCCGCCCTGGATCCTGCCCTTTCTGGTGGTCTCTGGAGGCCTCCAGGCGCCCCCGGAGGCCCTGCAAGGGCCAAAGAGGCCTCCGAAGACGCCCCCGTTCGACCCTCAGGGGTCGAGGGCTGAGCCTGGCAGCAGGGGGAGCAGGAGGTCGGAGGAGAAGTTCGAGGAGAAGCATGACGACGACGACGACGACGACGACGACGACGACGACGACGACGACGACGACGACGGCGACGGCGACGGCGACGGCGACGGCGACGGCGACGGCGACGGCGAGGAGGAGGAGGGGGAGGAGGAGGAGGAGGAGGAGGAGGAGGAGGAGGAGGAGGAGGAGGAGGAGGAGGGAGGAGGGAGGACGGAGGAGGGAGGAGGGAGGAGGGAGGAGGGAGGAGGGAGGAGGAGGAGGAGGAAGAGGAGGAGAAGAAGGTGGAAGAGGAGGAGGATAGTTACTCGCGCCCCGTCGCGTGCGGGGCTTCGGGATCTCCGGCTCGTGCAAGAAGAGAGCCCTCTGCCTGAAGTCGGGCCTGTCTCTCTACAGGAGGAATATTCAGAAATAGTCAGAAAATCCTCTGGGGACGATTTTCTGCTATTGTTGACCATTTTTACGTGCTCCTTGACTGTTGGAAAATATGTCGCCCAAAATCCGCCTGTAGGAGGACATGCCCGACCTAACCTTTGCCGCCTCGCAGGGTACGTAACTAGCTCCGTTGCTCCTCCCCTCCTCTTCATCGTCCCCTAGAGCTGCCCCGCTGTCGACCAGAGAAGGCGGTCCTTTCAGCGGCAGCCGCTGGCAGGCGTTTCATTACCCGTCCGAGGGCCATCATCATCGCTGCTCACGCCGGGACATCCTGATCTCAGAGATGCTCAATTTCCTTCATCTGATGTTACCCTCGTCCTGGCTTCGTCCTGGAGGGGGGAAGAGGCAGGAGGAGGAGCAGCAGCAGCAGCAGGCCATCCTGAGCAAGGTGATCGACTACTGCAAATACCACAAGGCAGGGGGGGGGATGGGGGGGGGCCGACGACCCACCTCGAGACGTGAGGCCGTCGATGGCCACGGCAGGGCTCCCCAGGCCGCCGAGCCTGCAGGCCTCCCTGCCAAGATTTCCCTCCTCCTCCCCCTCCTTCCCCCTCCTCCTCCTCCTCCTCCGCCTCCTCCTCCTCCTTGTCCTCCTCCTCCTCCTCCTCCTCTTCCTCCTCCTCCTCCTCCTCCTCCTCCTCCCCCCTCGTTGTGCTGGGCAAGAGGGCCAGGCAGAGCGTTCCCCTCGTGGTGCTGGTCGAGGCCTCTGGGCAGACAGCTGGAGTACAATCACACTGGCAAGCTGCGGACAAACGATCCCACAAGCAACTTCTGTGTGGTCTTGTTGCTGCAGGGCCGCGGCTGGGACCCACCTCGGGGCTCAGGAGACGGGGCCTGCAGGGCCAGGGGTGCACGGACCCAGGCCAGCGCACAGGATCCTGCAGGATTTTGAAGGATCTTGCAAGGCCTGACTGACCAGGGTCTGCACTGACCCGGGTGAGGAGATCGTCCCCCCCCCTGGCCACAACATTGGGTGGCACCCCGACTAAGCCGAGGTTCGGGCCCCTGGACCTCCAGGGCGCCCATGCAGAGCATCTTCTCGGGTTTCCAGGCCTCCCATCCGTCCCTTGCAGATTTCACGGGAGCCCCGAGTGGCCTCAGAAACCCACGAGACGCCCCAAGACGACCCGAAAACTCAAGAGGCGCCCAAAACGCCCACTTCGAGCAGGGAGCTGGGAGTTTAAAAAGGCCCGCTTCGAGCAGGGGATCGGCTGCAGAATTGATTTCCCAAGAATCGCTTTGCTCGTCGAATCTACGGAAGAGTATTTAGAGTTATCAGTATAATCACCAACGTTCGACGCATTCGTCGTAGATCCGCTGGTGTGCTTGAGCGTATGTGTATGTATTTGTGTAAACATATAGTTCTACAAAAATGCATGCATATAAACACATACATACATGCATACATGCATGCATGCATGCATGCATACATGCATACATAAACATACACAAATACCTATACTTGTACATATACACACAAGTAGATACATGCATACATACATACAAACATACATACATACATACATACACACACCCACATACATACATACATACATACATACATACATACATACATACATGCATGCATGCATGCATACATACATACATACATACATGCATACAAACATACATGCATGCATACATACATACACACATGCATACATACATACATGCATACATGCCTACATACATACATACATACATGCATGCATACATACTTAGTTACATACTTACATACATACAGACATACAATACAATACAATACAATACAATGCAATGCAATACAATACAATACAATACAATACATACATACATACATACGTACGTACATACATACGTAGATACATACGTACACCCACATGTATATGTACATATGTGTGTACATCCGAGGTTGAGAGGTGAGATCGCAGTAGAACGGAGAGCCCCTCACCGGGAAATCGGTTGCGGTTTCGTGTTCGTGTCGTGCGTGCGGGCGAGGCGAAGCTGCGTGTGCGCGCGAGAAGCATGACCCCGCCTTCGCCAGGGCGATTCGGATGCAGTGGACCGCCCCTCCGCCCCGGGTGGGCGCGCGCGGTGGCCCAGGGTGTCCGGCCGTGGTGTTCGGTTGGTGTCCCGTCGGCGTTCCATCGGCAGTGGGCGGGCGGTGGCCAGGGGTGTCCCGCCTCAGCGGCATCACATCGCAGCGCAGCATCGTCGTCACGCGTCGGCGCTAACTCGAGGGCGCGCCAGCAGCATCGTCATCATCACACCCATCGTATTTGCCAGCAGTCCGTTCTTTCCGCCCACTGCCCATTCTCCTAATCACCCGAAGGGTGGTCGTACAGGTATGTACATATATATATATATAGATATGTATATATAGATGTGCATGTGCATATGCATCCCTCTCTCTCTCTCTCTCCCTCATTGCGCCTGTCTGCGAAACTTGAAGTGCCAAGGCGCGCTGCGCGAAACGCCAATGCTGTCCTGAGGACGTGTCTGGTGCATTCCCCTCCACATCGTTGGCTGGCTCGCTGGCACATCACATTCTCTAGGATCGCTGGCCCGTCCTGGGAGGGCAGCCCAGCGCCGAACTCAAGAAAAGAGGGGGGGGGTCGCACAGAACCCCCTCAGGTGCGGAGGGGGAGGAGGAGAGGAAGTGGGAGGAGGAGAGAGGAAGGAGCAGGAGGAGGACGAGGAGTAGGAGGAGGAGGAGGACAGGGGCGAGAGAGGGAGGAGCAGAAGGAGGAGGAAGAGGAGGAGGAGGAGAAGGAGGAGGAGGATGGGGAGGGGAGAGAGAGAGAGGGAGAGAGAGATATATAGAGAGAGAGAGAGAGATGAATGGAGAAAGCGAGGGGGGAGGAAGGAGAAAACGCAGGAGAAAGAGGAGGAGGAGGACGATGAGGAGCAGGACGAAGAGGAGGAAGAGAAGGAGGAGGAAGAGAAGGAGCAGAAAGAGGAGCATGCGAGTCCCTCGGGCAGGAGGACCATGCGAGTCCCTCGGGCAATGCCGAAGGGGGTCACCATTGTCGTCGGTGCGCCCAGGGGGGAAGGCAGAAAGGATGGGCCTTCTCTGCGAGGCCTCCGGCCTATTGAGAATCATTCAAAGCCTTCTTCGGAGCCGCAGAGAGTTTCCCAGAAAGAGCGCGGAATTAGTTGTTCGATTATAGCTCGAGTAGGAGGCCCCTATCGGTGTCCTCGAGGTTGAAGACTGATGCATTCGACGATGCCCGATAAAATGGTATGCGAATGACTCCGTAGCTGCTCTAGGTCCCGAGATTGAGTGAAAAAATCGGCACAGCTGAGTGGTTCCTGAAAAGCCCCGCCGCCCTATGAGAAGGCCTGCCCCCTCTCACTTCCCCCTCGGCGCGACGCCGACACCTGAGGGGCCGCGACATCCTTGAGGAAAAGTGTCCCACTGGACCCCGCCAAACTCCCAGAGGCGACCGAAAGCGTCCAGGGACTCCTCGATCCTCGACCGCCCTCCTACTCCTCCTCCTCATCATCATCATCATCCTCCGCCTGAGCTGTTCTGGCTCAGGCTTTTCTAGTCTTCAGATCGGTAATCGCTGTTGCGGGCAATTGGCTCGGTGTGTTCAGGCTGAGACACTTCCTCCCTCCATTCGTGAGCTCCTGCTGGAGCAGTCCACATCGCCCCGCGCTGCCGCATGGGGCAAGATCCCGATGTCCTCCCTGGCCCGGAGCAGCCCATGTGGGGATGTCCGTCATGCGGGAGGAATTCCAACTTCGCCTCACGCATCAAGTGCCAGCCAGTGCGGGAGGAAGGCCCCGCAGTCGGTCATTGATCTCGCCAAGAAGATGGCCACGGATTCCAAGTCGGCGCCCAGGATTGCGATGCCTCGTTCGCGTGGTGGCTCTTGGGCTCGTAGCCCTCCTGGCCCTACGAATTCTATCGCGCTGAGCTCGGGAAGCTACAGGAGCAGACGGAGACCTTCGCCAAGCAGCTCAGCAGTCCAGGAGCTCGTGCACCCCCAGCAGCAGCACCGCCAGACGCGGCAGACGGAGGCACTACGGCTGCCACGGATGAAGCTGGACGCGCCCTCGTGGCCAATATTAAGTCCCTGGAGGCGGCATTCCAGGGGATGAAGAGTGATGAGTTCCCTGTCGCCATCAAGCACGCCATGGAGACGGAGCTGGCGGATGCGCGCAAGGAGCCCAACAGCACCAAGCCGCCCCTGTCTCGCCACACGGCCTTGGGACACAAGTTGCAGCGGCCCAGCGGCAAGCTCGAGAAGCTGGACGAGGACATCAAGACCCAGCAGGCGCCCACTGCTGCCGCGCAGGGCGACTTGCAGTCCACGCAGGAGAAGGCTCGCTTGCTGCGGAGTGGAGATCGAGGCCATGAAGCTGGAGCTACATTCTACCATGGCCCAGGTGGTTCCACAGAACGCTGCACCCACTCTGGTCCTGGACGCTGACGTCGCCGCTGACAAGCCAGAGGTGCAGAGGCTCATGCAGTCCAAGGAGTTCGCGAGGTACCAGGTGCTCTCTTGCAAGGCACGGGCCGCTCAAGCTCCTCCTCCCCCTGCGGCGTCCTCGTCTCTGGGTCTGATCAGGGAGTGTCCACGCCCGCCCCGATGGATACAGATTTTGACGATCTTACAGATGAAGGCATTGATCAGCTTATTGCAGCGGCCAGGGGAGACAGTAATAATAAGCGTATATTCTCCGAACTTATCAGTGAGTTGGGTTTCGCGGCGGAGAAACAACAGTGCGGGTGACACTATGTCCGACGGTCCTGCTCCCCAATGTTACGGCATACTTCTCTCCCGCACAGGCGCGATGCTGACCAGCGCCAGCACAATTTCGACGGCTTCAACGGCTCGTGATGGGCCACTTTGAAGCGACGATTGCGAGAGAGTTCAGCCGCCCCCACGCGCGCGCAGGGGGTTGGCACATCTTCAGAGTTCATTGGCAGGGCCACTGGCAGGACGCGACGTCTCGGGTCTCATGCTCTCTTTGCTCCATGGCATTACAATCCTGTCACTGGCAAGACGTCGGCTGGCGCGGCGGTCTGTGGCAGAGCGAGCACTGGGATCTGTTAGCCCTCAGAAGGCGACATCCCACGAGTAGCGCCCCACCGCGCTGTCAGAGTTTTGGTGAACTTGCCTGGGCGGCCCACGACGTCGCCACTTAAAGGCCGCGGAAGGTTTGGGCCCTGCTAGGCTCGCCGGCGTCGGACCCCACTCACTCCGTCATCGCGAGCGACTCGGGACGCAAAGCCGCTCCAGGAGAACGGACTCAGACTTCCCCAGACAAGAGATGTTCTGATTTGTTCGATACGGCGTCCCCGAATCCCGCCCCTTTCTCCAGAGCTGGTCTTCTCCTCCCGGGTCGTGTTTGACCGTCTCGGTGCCCGGCGAGGACCCCCAGAGGCCGCAAGTGACCAAACATTTCTGGCCGTGGTGTTGGCTCCACGGCGCGAGCAGGCTTTGGGGTCTGGGGAGCCACGTTTGCGAAGCATCACGACATCGGACGCTTAAGAATACGACGGCGGTCGTCCCACCCCCCCTGCGCGCTGCCAGGACTGGACGGGGGCTTCCTTGGGCGCAAAGCATCAGGGAGGCCTAATCAGGATGAGGGCCAATCGCTCCAGAGCGCTCTCGGCGCCTTTGTCTGCATCCTCATTCGTCCGATTCATCCTCATCCCGATTCATACTCATTCGTCTTCGCTCCAGGGCGCCCGATTCATCCTCATCCGATTTTGTCCTCATCCTGCCTTCGTCTTCAAGCGGGGCGAAAGGAGGGGGGGAAGGGGGTGGCGGAGGGGGGACAGGAGGAGGGCGGCTCCACGGGCAACGGGCGCCGGGAGTGGGCAGCGGATCCTCCCAGACTTCCGACGTCGTGTTGTGCTGTCCAGAGCGTGGCCCAGCTTCCCATCCTCCTGGAGACCGAAACCTGCACAAGATCTTGGGCCGAGGGATGCGGAAGGAGGGAGAGGGGGGGGTGCAGAGGCTCAGGCCCCTCACCGGGCCCGGGGGCTATCAAGAATCGGGCGCCTTACGACGGGGTCCTGCAGGATCCTGCAGAGGCAGGGGTGCATTGGCCCAGGCTTAGGTCGGGCCTGTCCCTGCACAGGAGGAATATTCAAAAATGGTAACAAAATTGTCTGGGGACGACTTCTGACTAACAATTTGGGCGCATTTTTGAGGTATTTTTGTTTTTCATCCAAAATCCCCCTTCAAGGGGACATGCCCGATTTAAGCCCAGGCTTGCGCGCAGCATCTTGCAGGATTCTGCAGGATCTTGCAGGATCCTGCAAATCCTGAGTGACCCGGGGCTGCAATGACATGGGTCAGTGCGTCCCCGAAAAAAGCGATTCGGTACGAAAAGTTGGTCCCCGGGATGGGGCCCAAAACGCTTCACAAACGCCCAAACACCTCCGTGCTCCATGCTGGAAGATCCCTGGCATCCTCGCGTCGTGGCAAGCCTTGAGGAAGGTTTTTGCTGGCATGTGCTTGTCTCCTGGAAGTTATTCGTGACGAAATGCCAGACCCTGGGAATGGGTCCAGACAGCCCTCAGGGGATGGAGGCGGCTGGGGGGTCTGCTTCGGACGTGCACCAGCAAAACCAGTTCAGAAAGAAAGGGGCAAATTCGGCATCCAAAGTCCGTCTGGAGAAGGCGCCCCTTGGAGGGGACGGGGAACGAAACCTGTGCACAAGTCTGACGGCTGGAACCAGCGATGCCCCACATTGGCCTCCCGGCCAGCTCCAACGCTGGGGAGCCACCCTGTGACACAAAAACTACGTCGGATGCTTCGGCTTTCCAAAGGACCAAAACGCCCCCCAGAAGCATCACAGAACCGTTCAAGTACCTCCGTGCTCCCAGGTGTCTCAGGAGGGGAAAAAACACACAGACACAAGTAATCGTCGATTCCCCAGAAAAGATCGGAAAATATGAGAAGTGGGGGGAGACAAAAACCCAGAAAAAAAATTGAATACATGGGGAATATTGTTATTTGTGTCTATTTATTGGTGCGTCCCAGGGCCCCTTCAGTGTCACCCGCAGAGGCGTGAAGGTAGCGACGTTTCGCTCTCGATGGCGCGAAAAGACCTCGCGCCTCGCATCGCAGGGCGCGAAGTCCGGTGACCTGCGTGCTCGATCCTGACGGATCGAGGGCAGAACTTGGCAGCGGCAGGGGGGGTCCAGGCATCAGACGCGCCGTAGATCTGTTCGCCAGCGTGGCTTTCAGGGGGCCTGGACCTCTTCCCAGGGACCGACGCTCCATACTTGAATCGTTCCTTGACGGCGGCCCCGGGGCCTGGTGAGGGTTCGGAGGCCGAGACTTGCTCAAAGCCATCCGCCGTGATTTCTTCACGACGACAGGGTGTCCAAACAAAGGCCCCAAGACTTACGTTGCTCCCATCGTAATTAAGGACCAAATCCGAGAAATACTTTCGAGCACCCAGAAAAGTATCGAAACAGTGTCGAGCGAGTATCGCTTCCCAGGGCCCGACACGTAAAAACCCTGAAGCTTCGGTACTTTCTTTGTGCTCGAAATTCCTTCTGGTGATCAAGGCTAAAGTAGGTTGGAACATCATGACCCAAGAGGCCTCTGTCCCGGAGACCGTTCTGGCAAGAATCTCGAGCCAGATCCTCGGGGCCCCCAAACGGGGTGGTGACCACACCGTATGGTGAGTCGGTGGGGATTCGGGGTCACCGCACGGTTTTGGGACTCGGGTCGTTCTCCGAGGACGTCTCGGGCGACTGGGGCATCCGAGGTCCCAAGACCGTGCGTTGACGGACCGTGCGGTGAGATATTGGGGGATTTCGAGGTCACCGCACGGTCTGTCACCGCACCGTTTCGGGACTCCAAAGATCCAGCCGTGGCGACGAGGGCACTCCAGGAGGCTCCCAAAAGGGCGACCAACGGAGGCCCGCAGGCCCGGAACGGCCCGAAACGCTCCGCCTGGATTATTTCGCGACCGGGAGGATAAGGAGGAGGAGGAGGAGGAGGAGGAGGAGGCGCCGCCGCCGCTGGCGGCGTCGTCGTCGTCGTCGGGCTGGTGAGCGGGCGGAGGACAGCCCTCCGGAAGAGATCCAGAAGCCGCTGAAGAGCACGAGCCTCACCGAGTGTGGCCCGCACCGCGCGCCCTGGGGCGGCGCAGCTTGTGGGGGGGGGGGGGGGGACGCGCCCGCGAGCGCCGTCGACGGACCCTCGGCCCCCGCGAGCTTCCGGGTCCGCACCTCGAGGTCCGATGTTCTTTGGACGTGTTTCCGCCCTGCTTGGGCCTCCCGGGGTGGCCTCTCCTCCTCCTCCTCCTCCTCCTCCTCCTCCTCCTCCTCCTCCTCCTTCTCCTCCTCCTCCTTCTCGTCCCCGTAATCACTCTTCCGACTCGTCGCTCCTCCGCCCGCGTCGCCGCGGCTGGATCTGGCTCGAACTTCTGGCCAGGGCGCTCCCCGAAAAAACAGGTCCGGGGATTGGTTTCTGGACCCCCGGTCCCTGAAATCCTGTCGTCCTGGGAAAGTTACGGCGGGGAGGGGCGAGGGGGGGTACAGTCAACCCGTACAATAAGAATGAGCAAGTTTCCAAGGTTACACATGCATCCGTGCTTCTTCGGCCCATCTCCTTAGCGACTTTCGCTGGCCGACCTCGTTCGAAAAACGATAACATAGCCATCCAAGGCATGCGCATCCTAACCGCGCAACCGTTATCACGGCTTGACTGTAACTTTCAGCCTCCGGGGACCTTTGGCGGGCCTTGGGGTCGCCAAGGAGCGACTCGGCATAGAAAGTCAGGAGGTGTTTTGAGAGGATCTTGGTGTGGAGAGAAATGGTGAGCAGCTGGGATACGTAGGCGACACGCCATTGAACCCGGTCGGCTCGCGCTGCACTGGACTCGCCCCGGGCAGCCATATCGTAGGCTTGGGCCTCGGAACTCACAGACGTGCTAGGTTGAAGCTTCAGGAGGAGGAGTGTAAGGATACAGTGATCAGCTTGAATAAGGAACACTTACTTTTCAAGAGGGGCTCGGTCGTTCCTTAAGTTTGCATATGTTATGTGTCGTTTCTTATGCGCTATACATTAGCTACCGTTCCTCAAGCGTTATTCCTTGGGCACAACAGGGGTTTCGTTCCTTATTTATCGTTCCTTAGGTCAGGCCGATGATTGTAAACCCAGAAAGGATCAACGGTGCTGCAATACACCCGCCCGTCCCAAGTCCCCTTCGCATGAGCCCCTGCAACCATCATTTTCCACTGCGGGGAGTGCGCGCTTGAAACACATACGACCAAGGGGCCTGCCTCTCGAGCGAGAGTCCTGCTTTGAACGTGGGCATGTCACGGAATGGCTGCCAGCGTGGACCCCAAACACTATGTAAGTGCACGGTGGATGTGGAAGCTATGCGGCGTAAGCTACGAGGTGTAAGCTACGTGGTGCGGGCTGCGCGGTTCAACCCAACTATATGGTGTAAGTGATCTGGTCTAGGCTATGAAGTCTACGCTATGTGGTGCAAGCTATGTAGCACAGGCTCTTTAGCGCAAGTTCTGCAACCGCCCAGCGCACGTGGTGCCCACGAGGAGCCCACGGGCGTGAGGAGGAGGAGGAGGAGGAGGAGGGCCATTACGAGGATCGACCGAAAGAACAACAAAGCCTTGCTGGGCTCCCTGGATTCGGAGGAGAGCCGGGCGTTCCTCCGCTCCTGCGGCGGCCCGCACGCAGCAGGCTGGCAGACCGCCTCCCCGGGCGAGCCCCGGCCACGCCTGGACGACGTTGACTACCGACCACGGCGCAGCAGCTGCTGGGCCAGCACGCCGCCGCGCCAGGGGCCACCTGCTAGAACTGCGCCCGCACCGGGGAGCGGGCGGGCCGCCGCTGCGCGGAGCCGCTCTGACCCAAAGCCCACCACGCTTGGCGGCGCCCGCGCAGAGGCAGCCTCCAGGGGCGCAGCGGCGACCTTGGAACGGTGTGGGAGCGCGCGCATCCGCGCCGACTGCGGCTGCCGCGTGGCACGCCAAACGCCGGTGCCGGCCTGCGCCAGCTGCGGCGCTAGGCTGACGGCGCGGCGCGAAGAGGCCATCCTCTACTTGGGATCCAGGGTGCTGAGTGCACGCGAGCCTTCATCGACGTCACGGCGCGCTACGGCGTGCCCAGCGACGTCGAGGGCCTCCGGGCCGCGCGGGACGGCGCAGTCTGCCAGAGCGCGGAGGCAGACAAGCACGCGCGGTATCCCAGCGGGCGCGCACTGGCGGATGGTGCTGCTAGCCTTAGAGACCGCGGCCCCGCCGCCGCCCGCGGCGCCGCGCTCTCGACCGCGCTCAATTGTTGGCCGGGAACGATGGCGCCGCGGCAGCGGCTGGCGCCAGCGCCTTCGCGCGCTGCTGGGGGGCCGAAGTGGCGGTGGCCGCGCACGCAGCCACGGCGCACCAGGTGCGAACGGCGCCGGGGACCGAAGCGGCCAGGCCATGCGAGCGCGCGGCTTCGGCTGCAGCGATCGCCCGCCAGGCTGGCGCCAGGGCGCGGGCGCCGCAGCTGCTCTCTGCCAGGCGCTGCCACTGCTCGCGGGGGTCAGGGCAGAGGGCGGCGATGGGCGAGCCCGTCGGAGCGCGGGGAAGGAGGACGAGGAGGAGGAGAGTTCCTCGACCCCTGCCTGGGGCGACGGGCGCCATCGCGGGCGCCCGTGGGCGCTGCGGGACCGCGCGTCGAGGCCTCCGTCCGCCAGCCAGTCAGGAGGAGGCGCTCCCCTGATTCGCCCGCGTGCCCCAAAAGACTGCCCCCCAGACCTGTTGGCCTATCTGGGCCGCTGGAAAAATTCGGGCGGCACGTTTATTCAAAGGTCCTGGTGTTATTCGTTTGGGCTTCGCCAGGGGAGCAGGGCGGGGGGGGTCTGGGCTTTTGCCAGCCGGTCAGGAGGAGGAGGAGGAGAAGGAGGAGGAGGAGGAGGAGGAGGAAGAAGAAGAAGAAGAACAGGAAGAGGAGGAGGAGGAGGAGGACGAGGAGGAGGAAGAGGAGGAGAAGGAGGAGCAGGAGGAGGAAGAAGAGGAGTAGGAGGAGGAGGAGGAGGAGAAGGGGGAGGGGAAGCGGCGGGGAGGACGGGGGGGACTGGCTCACAGCCGCGATTTGTTCACATCGTGGGCCCCCAGAGCTCTAGAAACCTTCCAGGGGGGCCGACTTCCCATCCCGAGTCGCTTCCTGATTGCCGCGGGCCCCCGCCATGGCCTCCAGCAACCCAGAGTTGCCGAAACAAATCCGCCACGGGTCTGGGAGCTCAGGGGGGGCAGCATCGACCCCCGATCGCCCCTGTCATCGCCGACCGGGCGTGGGCGTCCTGCGCCCGGCCGAGCGAGCGGCGGGTTGATGATTGCCCTGTTGGTGGGCCTGCCGCCGATCCGTCGGCAGTGAGCGGAGTCGATGCTGACCGATGTGCCCTGGCGCCTCGGAAAACTCGGGGCGGCCAGCTTGTCACCATCCTCGGCCGCCACGGAGGCCAGCTGCGGGGGCCGTCAACAAGCTGCCGGGATGAGCGGTCGAAGGGTCTGGGGGCCCGTGCATCGGAAAAAATGGCGCGCACGATATTTAGATGTGGCAGGTGGGGGAAGGAGAAGGAGAAGGAGAAAGAGAAGGAGTAGGAGTAGGAGTAGGAGGAGGAGGAGGAGGAGGAGGAGGAGGAGGAGGAGGAGGAGGAGTAAGAGGACGAGAAGAGGAGGAGGAGGTAGGAGGAGGAGGAGGAGGAGGAAGGAGAGAGAGAGGACGAGGAGAGGAGGAGGAGGTGGAGGAGGAGAATGCTACGTGTCAGGAGGAGGAGGGGAAGGAGGAGGGAGGAAGAGGAGTGGCAGGAGGGAGGAGGGAGGAAGGAGGAGAGAGGGAGGAGGAGGGTGGAGGAAAGAGGGAGCAGAGAGGAGGAGGAGGAGGAGGAGGAGAAGAAGAAGGAGAAGGAAAAGGAGAAGGAGAAGGAGAAGGGAGAAGGAGAAGGAGGACGAGGACGAGGACGAGGACGAGAAGCAAGAGGGAGAAGAGGAGGAGGAGGAGGAGGAGGAGGAGGAGGAGGAGGAGGGGGGGATGGAGGAGGCGGATGAGAAGGAGGAGGAGGAGGAGCAGCAGCACATGTGTGTCGTTTACACTTCGAGTCCTCAGTCTGCACGCACGCTGGAGGACTCACTCCGCCTGTGCCCGAGCAAGAGGAAGCGGATGGGAATCGAATCGTTCAGCTCGTGTGCACATCCCCAGGCGATCGAGATTCGCGATCGAGAAGGACTATCTTGATAGACCCCGCGTGGGGTCGGAACCCCTCCTCCCCTTCGCTTCCTCATCTCCCCTCACCCTCGTCCAGCAGGAGGAGGCGGAGGAGGAGGTAATGCCGAGCCAGATCCTCGCCCTTGAGGTCTCCAGAAGCCTCCTGAGGCCCCAAGAATGTCACACATGAAACCGCATGCTGTTCCATCGCGTATGTTTAACGTACTTTCCGAATTATACTTGTCTACGGGGCCAGGCCCCCCCCCTACACAACAGGTGGCCCTCGACCAAAACGAGTTTCGGACCCTGACGCCTCCTGGACCGATGGCCCCTGCAGAGCGTCTCCTCGGGTTTCCCGGCCTCCTGAACGTCCTCGGCTGACTTCGAAAACAAGCCCGAAGCGGTCGGGAGGGCGCCCTCACGGCCTCACCGGAGCCCCAAGTGCTTTCGGAAACCCTGTAGACGTCCCAAGTCGACCCAAAGAAGACCCCCAAGAGAGTTCCCAAACAAACGCCTCAAACATGGATTCCCTGACAGCTTCTGAATGATGTCCGTTTCTTCGGTCTTCTGGTCGTCCGAGACCGCCGACGAGGCCCCAAGATCGCCCCAAGACGGCCAAAAAGGCTTCAAGGTGACGTTGGCCCAAGATAGCTCCAAGACAGCACAACAGGGCCCCAAGAAAGCCCCAAGACGACCCAAGATTCCAAGACGCCCCCCAAAGCACTCTACGTCGGGACCCGGTCGTTGAGAAAAAATGCCGTCGGCAGTAAGATGGCCCCAAGAAGCCCCCAGATGTTCCCCAAGGGCTCCCAGGAGTGGGGCGCCAGGAGGCCCCCCCGGAAGCCATCAGGAAGCCTTCGAGAGGCCCTCTAGAACCCCCCCAAGGAGGGTCCACCGCAAAAACGAGAGAGAGGGAGGACGTAGAAGGGCGCGCAGGGAAGGGCGACGACGAGCAAGAGGAAAAGGAAGAGGAGGAAGGAAGAGGATGAATGGGAGAAGCCGGAAAAGGACGAGAACGACCAGAGCAAAAATGGGAACCGTAGCATGTTGTTTCATTTCTCTCTGCTTCTTTCTCTCTCTCTCTCTCTCTCTCTTTCTCTCTTTCTATACACACATACACACACACACATGGATTCACCAAACGGTGCTTGCACTCAGGGGCTCTTGCTTGTTACTAATGAACTGGGCCTGTCTGTCGGTCTGGCGGCGATGTCGCCGCCGTCGCCGCCCCGTCGCCGCCTCGTCGCCGCCCGTCGTCTGGGCCTGTCTGTCGGTCTGGCGGCTATGTTGCCGCCGTCGACGCCCCGTTGCCTCCCGTGCCTGGGCCTGTCTGTCGGTCTGGCGGCCCTGTTGCCGCCGTCGCCGCCCTCACCTGGGCCCGTCTGTCGGTCTGGCGGCTGTGTTGTCGCCGCCGTCGCCGCTCGCCGCAGCCTCGCATGATTGCACCACATCGATTGCACCGCACGGATTGCACCACATCGATTGCACCGCATAGCTTGAACCACCTAGATTGCACCGCATAGATCGCAGCACACAACTCGCAACACATAGATTGCACAACACGGGTCGCACCGCATAAATTGCACCGCATAGATCGCGCAGCACAGGTTGCACAACATGGGTCGCATTGCAAAGACTGCACCACATAGGTTGCTCCACTTATATTGCGCCACAGATATTGCACCACATAGATCGCAACTCATATATTGCGTTGTATATATATATATATATACACACACGATGTACAAATATAGGTCGCACTGCATAGATTGCACAACGTATATTCGACCACGCAGTCTGCACCACTATATTGCACGACATAGCTGGCAACACATAGAGTGCGCAACGTAGATCGCAACGCATATATTCGCCTTTCTAAAGGAAGAATAGACTCTACCCCCCCCCCAGAGTTCACGGGACGCCTCTCGTAATGCAATTTACATATGATTCTGCCCCATCGTCCATCCTGTATATAAGGTCATATTATCCCAGCCAAACCGGTACCACTCCCCCCCGCCATCTTCGACAAAAAATACTAAGCGCGCACTTTCGTTTATCAAAAATCATCCGTATTCAAGAGCCCCTTGCAAAAAATAGGACGAAGTGCACACGCGCACGTCGTCGCGCGCGCATGCCGAAATCCTTCAAAAACCTTCGATTTCGGAAGGATGCCAAAATCAAGGTTCCAAAAAACATACAACAACACAGGGTTCCGCAACACTGATTTGCTAAAAAAGCTTACGCGCGAGCTCTTGCGAAATCTTAAGAAAACCATAGGTGTTTCAAGATTGTTTTACAAAATACTACCAAACGGGCTTCGCGCGCGCGCATGTCGAAATCTGTCGAACACCTTTGCGCGTATGCCGTCGCGAGAACCCTCTGCAAAAAATGGGACGAAGTGCAGACGCGCACGTCGTCGCGCGCGCATGCCGAAATCCAAAAAACCTTCGATTTCGGAAGGATGTCAAAATCACGGTTCCAAAAAAACATACAAAAACACAAGGTCTCGCAACACTGATGTGCTAAAAAAGCTTACGCGCGAGCTCTTGCGAAATCTGAAGAAAACCAAACGGGCTTCGCGCGCGCGCATGTCGAAATCTGTCGAACACCTTTGCGCGTATGCCGTCGCGAGAATCCTCTGCAACAAAATAGGACGACGTGCACACGCGCACGTCGTCGCGCGCGCATGCCGAAATCTTTTAAAAACCTTCGATTTCGGAAGGATGTCAAAATCAAGGTTCCAAAAAACATGCAAAAACACAGGGTTCCGCAACACTGATGTGCTAAAAAAGCTTACGCGCGAGCTCTTGCGAATTCTTCAGAAAACCATGGGTGTTTCAAGATTGTTTTACAAAATACTACCAAACGGGCTTCGCGCGCGCGCATGTCGAAATCTGTCGAACACCCTTGCGCGTATGCCGTCGCGAGAATCCTCTGCAAAAAATCTGACGAAGTGCAGACGCGCGCGTCGTCGCGCGCGTGCGCCGAAATCCTTCAAAACCCATCGGTGTCGGAAGGATTTCAAAATCGTGCGTCTAAAAAAACCTACAAAAACACAAGGTTTCGCAACACGGATTTTCAACAAAAGCGTGCGCGCGCGCTCTTGCGTCGTCGTCGTCGTCGTCGTCGCCGTCCTCCCTCCTCCCGCGTCGTCGTCGTCGCCTACGTCGTCCTGTGTCTTTCCTCGTGTTCGTCGTCGTCGTCCTCTTTGGCGTCGTGGTCGTTTCCGTCGTCGTTGTCGCCGTGGTCGTCCTTCCTCCTCCCTCGTCGTCGTCGTCGTCGTCCGTCGTCGGCGTCTCGTCGTCGTCCCTCCTATTTCGTCGCGTCGTCGTCGTCGTCGTTGTCGTCGTCGTCGTCTTCCCTCCTCCCTCGTCGTTGTCGTCGTCGGCGTCGCCGTCCTTTCTCCTGCTTCGTCGTTCGCGTCGTCGCCGTCCTCCCTCCTCCCTCGTCGTCGTCTTCGTTGGCGACGTCGTCGTCGTCTTCGTCGTCGGAGTCGGCGTCGTCGTCTTCGTCGTCGTCGACGTCGGCGTCGTCGTCGTCGCCGCCGTCGTCGTCGTCATCGTCGTCGCGTCGTGCGGTCGTCGTCGTCGTCGGTGTCGTCGTTGTCGTCGGCGTCGTCATCGTCGTCGTCGTCGTGTCATCGTCGTCGTCGTCGTCGGTCGTCGGCGTCGTCGTCGTCGTCGGTGTCGTCGTCGTCGTCATTTTCGGCGTCGTCAAAGTCGTTGGAGACGTCGTGGTGTCGTCGTAGTCGTTGTCGTCGTCGTCGTCGTTGTCGCTGTCGTCGTCGGCGTCGCTGTCGTTGCCAAGTGCCATTTGGTACCCACCGTCACGGTCTTAAGAGATTTTGCAAACCAAGTTGCGGGTGGGTGGGTGGGATGTTTGCGCGAGCAGTGGAGGCGGTCAAGCGCGGTGCAGGGTAGTCAATTGCACCACATAGATCGTACTGCATCGATTATACCACATGTCTCGCTCCAGATATATTACACCATCTAGACTGCACCACTTGATTGCACAACATACATCGCACAAGCTACATTGCACAACATATGTTGCACTGCATATGTTGGACAGCCTAGGTCGCACAGCATCTAGTGCTCAATACCGATGGCACAGTCTAGACTGCACGGCATAGATTGCAACTCATAGGTTGCACTGTAGAAGTTGTACCAGATAGAGCTCTCCACACACACACACACACACTGCTCCACACAGGTTGCACAAGAGATATGGCAAGAAACACACTGGCTGGGGCCCGCGCTGGTTAACCTGTGAATGTATAGACAGAGGAAAAAAAGAGAGAAAGAGAGAGGGAGGAGTCCACCGATGCGCAAGTTTTACATGGCAAAGGTTCAATGCAGTCTTGCGTATGTATGATACATATGTCTATGGGTATATCTCTACGAAAGAATCAGCAATGCTCACATACACGCACAAAACGAATCAAGCCGAGGGTCGAGGGCTCAACTTAGCGGTTCGCGCGAGGGAGGGGGGGCGGGCGCGCGCGCGTGCGGCAGCCCCTCTGCGAGCCCGTCTGGGTGCCCGGCCGCGCGAGGCGTCTCGGAGTGGGATGCCGAGTACGTCAACATCGAGCAGGAGGCAGCGGGGGGGGGGCAGCAGGGCCGGGATCGGCGGCGATGGGGGGAGGTGAGAAGGGGCGGGCCTTCTTAGAGGGCTCGGGAGTCTTCTGGCTTTCGGAGAGGTGTCCTAAGCCCTAAGCCTTCCCCGGGGACGCAGAGCACTTCTCAGAGGGCGCGAGGGCTTCGGAGAAGTCCCGGCGCCTTCTGAGAAGGCCTCATCATGCCCATACCTCCCCCCCTCGCTCGCCGCTGATGGGAGGCAAGAGGCCCAGGATCGAGGAAGATCACCACCTACCAAACCACCCCAACCCAACCCGAAGGCCTCAATTTGCGCTCCATTTCCAGTGGGGGGGGGGTCGGGGGACATTGAGAAAACACGTGGAACCCGCACCCCCCCCCAACCCGGAATTCGGGTCAAATACGGGTCTTCGGGTTGGGTTGGGGTGGTTGTGTAGGCAGTCAGAAGACAAAGCAGAGAATGCTTGAGTCCTTGAGCTTCCTTGCTTGGGCCGCGGCCTCTGCGCCGCGGCCCGGTGGGCGCGGGCGGGCTCCCCAGCGGAGCGCGAGCGCGTCTCCGAGGCCGAGGACCGAGAAAGAGAAGCAGCCCGAGTATTGCGCTCGTGGGGTCGTCCCTGCTCGGGCTGCGGCCTCTCTGCGCCCGGCCCCCCGCTGGCACGGGCCGGGTTCCCCAGCGGAGCGCGAAGGCGACTGCGAGGCCGAGGATCCAAAACGAGAGAGCACCGAACAGATAGTCCCAAGCAAGAGCGCGATTCCTGAATAAGATGCGAGGAAGTCTCGGGCGGGAGCGGGGGACCTGGCTAAATTGTGAGGAAGTCTCAGGCGGGAGCCGTTGTTGTTGTACCCCGGGGCCAGGGACACAGTTTGAGCCTCAAGATTTTCTTTGATGGAAAAAAGAAAAAAAATAGAGAAACAAAAACAAAAAAACAAAAAAAAAAAAAAAAAAAAAAAAAAAAAAAAAAAAAAAAAAAAAAAAAAAAAAAAAAAAAAAAAAACGGTTGCGAGCGTCGAGGGGCACACTTTGATTGAGAGAAAACAGTCTGCACCAGTGGGGGGAGATCAACCATACTTATTATTCAGAAGTGGGAGTTCATCAACAACAACAACAACAACAACAACAACAACGACAACGACAACGACAACGACAACGATGACGACGACGACGACAACGACAACAACACCAACAACAACAACAACAGCAATAACAACAGCAACAGCAACAACAAAAGAAAAAGGCACCACATCGCCCCACATGCGGGACTCCGCACAGAAGGCTCCGCACGCGGGATTCCAGGCACACAGGCGTCGCACAAGTGATACAGATCGATCAACGGCGATCAACGGTTTAAGGTTCCATCGTTCGCAGCATGTCTCATCCGAGCCACATTCAGGCGATCGCAAACATGGATCAAGAGGGCGTGGATTAGCGACGGGTCTCGTTTCCATGGGAAATCGTGGATTTCCGCCGCCGAACGAGGCGCCACCGGCCGCAGTGTGGGGAGGGCACCTCCCCCGATCCATGGATTTGGCGACCGCGCGCCAAATCTATGGATTGCTAATCCATGTTGGCGCGCCCCCGACACATCGGCCTCAAGTTCGCCAGCCACCAACATCTGGGGCCCGAGCCCCAACGTGGCGACCGAGAAGCATCCCAATGCCAGCGGTGCTGCCAGCAAGCTCAGCTTTAGCGTGCAGGTTTGCTTCCAAGGCACATTGCAGGGCGAGTGGTTTCCTTTCCAGGCGTTCCATTACGAGCCTCCCGCTACAGAGCCAGTCTTTCTCCCCCCGTGTCCTTCCCGTGCCTTGCCCGTGAGTTTCATGAATGTGCCGGCTCTTTCCTCAGTGCATTTCGCGCTGCCAGCGTGGCTGCCAGGACGCGCGCGCCAAGCGTGCCAACTCGCAGGAGCCGCGCATCGAAGTACCAGCGTTGTTGGGAGGAAGTTCAATCAGAGCGTGCCGCTTCGCCTTTTGAGGATTTCGCATTGCCGCAGATCTTGACAAGAAACTCATTCCAGGCGTGCTGGTTCGCGTTCGGCGACCATGCCGCTTCCAGCGCCGCCCCCAGGAAGTTCAGTCCGACGTGCCGGTTCGCTTCTGGTGCGTGTTTTCTTGCTTGAAGGGGTTGGCCGAGGTTGGCCAGGAGGCGGGCCAGGCTAATCATTCGAGTGGTAGTGTCTTTCATGTGACATGATATGATTTAATGACCATGCGGCTCCCCGCAGGTGTTGGCCTGACTAACGCGAGAAAGGGGCATCGTTCCTTGTCGATGGTTCCTTGTCGCAAGACGTCGTCTGCATATGCTAGACGGTTGCCTCGCCGTAGCTGGCGAATCTTGTGTTTACGCGTGGCGTGCGCAACAGCAGCCTGTCATTCGCTCACTTGCGGGTGCAAGTGAGGAGTTTCACGCGCTCGCTGCGTTGCATCACGCCCGCAGTGTGCAAAGTCTGGCTGGCTTGCGTCAGGTTCGGGGAAGCGTAGGACTCGAGTAAGCCAGAACTCAGGTTTGCCGAAGCTTTTTGACGAGCGCGTCCTGGATCTTGTCGGTCCAGGTTTCGCGGGATGTCTGCAGCGGGAGCCCGCGTGAAATCTCGGATTGGGTCTCGTCCTTTTTTTATGATTGCCCCGTCAGGCCAACCCGGGTCCCCCGTACCCGAGTCTTACGTCTCCCCAGAATTGTTCCAGCTTCTCGTAGTTGAGCATCGTTTATCCGATCCCTATCCCCAGCGGCTTGGCCTGGGCCCCACTGGCCGATTTACCACCCTAGATGGGGATATACGCCGTATCCTTCGGGTTTCGAGGGGTGCATCCCCAACTGGGCGGGTAATTTAGGGGGCCTCGAAGGGGATGGGGATGGGGATGGTGGTCGGTTAAACGATACTGAGTACCCGAGTCTTATGTCTCCCCGATGCGAAGTTTGGCCAGCCTGCGTCAGGTGCTCTTCGAGATCATCCTTGCAGCGAACTACCTCGACATAAAGAGCCTCCTCGATCTGACATGCGCCAAGGCGGGAGCCCACGCGGCCACCGAAGTGGCCATGAGGGAGCCATCCCACCCCACCCACCCCTCCCCCTCCTCCTCCTCCTCCTCCTCATCCTCCTCCTCCCCATCCTCCTCCTCCTCCTCCTCCTCCTCCTCCTCCTCCTCCTCCTCCTCCTCCTCCTCCTCCTCCTCCCACCCTGCCCACCCAACCCACCCCTCCTCCTCCTCCTCTGCTTCCTCTCGCCTCTCTCGTCTCTACTCCTGCTCGCTCGCCTCCTCTCCCTTCTCCGCCCAGCCTTGGTCATGGCACAGTCCCTTCTCCTGCCTCCTCGCCCTGCTTCGTCTATCTTGTTCAAGTTCTTCCTCGTCATCCCTCGTCCATCCCGCCCCCTCCTCCCTCCTGCTGCATCCTGCCTCGTCATCCTCTGATTCCTTCACTCCCTCCTGCTCCCTTTCCATCCGCTCCGCTTATCCATCCCCCCCCAGCTTGTTTTGCTGACCTCTGCCTCCTTAACAGCAACGGCAGCTGCTCCGAAGGAGTACGACCCCCTCCCATGACGACGGCCCGCCTTGGCCCAGTTTGGTCTCGCGCGGCGACGCGCCGATGGGGCCACGGCTCCTAAGTGTGATAGGCCCGTGGCCCGTGGTGCAGCACAGCCTTCTGCGGGGCGAGAGGGGCGCCGGAGGGAACGACGCGCGCCTCACGAGTTTCCCAGAAGGGGCCACTGCGATGCCGGAACTGCGCCTGGCTCGGAGCAGCGGCGATGGGCCGGCACGGAGTGGCAGGTGAAGGAGCATCCCCCGCGCTGGGGCAAGATACGCAGAAAAGCAAGCTTGCGCGTGGCTCAGCATCTTGAGCAGAAAGCGCACAAACACTCACAGATTGCCTCCGACGTACTTTTGACGGCAGCCAGCGGGTAACGTGAACAGAGACGGGATGCACGCTAAGTTAGTTTACCACATCGCGTGGTACAATATCGAGCACAGGGTTAAGTATGTGGAGAGGAGGAGGAGGAGGAGGAGGAGGAGGAGGAGGAGGAGGAAGAGGAGGATTTTCTCTAGCAGCCACAAGCACGGATGATGGCAGTGGGAGGCGCCACCAAAGCAAGATATGGAGGGGAGGAGAGGTAAACGAGAGGAGAGAGGAGGACGAGGAGGAGGGGGAGGATGAAGGAGGAGGAGGAGGAAGAAGAAGAAGAAGAAGAAGAGGCGAAGGCGGAGGGGGAGGGAGGAGAACGAGGAGGAGGCAGGAGGAGGAGGAGTATGGGGAGGGTTCCGGGGTGAGGGGGAGGCGGAGGAGGGGGATGCGGAGAAGGGAGAGGAAGAGGAGGCGGAGGAGTGTCCGTAAAGGTAGGGGGCCAGATATCCGACGTCGGGTTTGTTAACAACGTGACTCCCCAGAAGTCTGGACCCCTTCCAGGGGACCCACTTTTCGTCCCGATTCGTTTTTAGACTGTCCTGGGGCCTGGCGAGGGCAACCTGAGTTCAAAAGAGCCGAGAACCGCACGTCGTGACTTCCGCGCGGCGCGAGGAGGTCATGATAGGAGGCGGGGAGCGATGGAGGCGCGCGGTCCAGGTGGCGTCCATGATCAAGGGGAAGAACACCGAGGACGCGCCCTCCCGCGCGGCGCACCCTGGGCGCCCAGGCAACAGAATGGAACAGGGCGGCGGAAGAGGTGAAAGGTAAGGTGGGGAGCAGGGGGGGAAAGACGACGGCGGCAGAGCCGACGACGTCAACGATGCCGACGACGACGACGACGACGACGACGACGTCGACGACGACGACGACGACGCCGACGACGCCGACGAAGCCGACGACGACGACGACGCCGACGACGCCGATGGCGGCGGCGGTGGCGGCGGCTGCGACGGCGGCGGCACCGTCGGCGGCGGCCAGCCGCCGCGAGCGCCGCCAGGAGATCCGCAAGCAGTTCAATATCGTCAATGACTTCACGCCCGAGGAGGAGGCGCAGGTGCGCGAGGCGGCCTCCGGCGGCGGCTCGCTCGCTCTCTCTCTCTCTCTCTCTTTCCCTCGGTCTCTCGTCTCTCGCTCTCTCTCTCCTCGCTCTCTCTCTCTCTCTCTCTCACTCTCTCCCTCGGTCTCTCGCTCTCTTTCTCTCTCTCTCTCGCTCTCTCTCTCCCCCTCTCGAATGAAGGAGAGGGCTGAGGCGAGCCAGCAAGCAGCAGGGGGCGAGACAGACCCGTCCTCTAGCCAGCTCGGCACGGCGACCTCCAGAAGCTAAAAACGACCTTCTATTGAGGGCTGCCTGGAGGCCGCCAGGCAAGACAAACTCCGCTGGAAGTTGAAGGAGGAGGGGGAGGGAGGATAGATGCGAGGAGGGAGGAGGAGAAGCTTCCTCTCTCTTGCTCTGCCCTTCCCATGAATCCCTCTTGGGCCACATGTGGGGCCTCCTGGACCGGCTTACGGCCGTCTTGAGCCGTTTTGGAGGTCAGATCTGGCCATCGCGAAGCCATCTTAGACCCGCGTGGGGCGCACCATGAGGCAAAACGGTTGATCCCCATTCTACGGGCTGTGTGTCTCTTCGCCCCGTCTCTCCCTCGCCTTCCTCCGCCCTCTCTCCTTTCACGCTCTCGCAGCTGCGCAGTGCAACAATCAAGCTCGGGCAATCCAGGCTTGCTTCCTCGACTTGCGCCTGCGTGAGGGGGAAAAGCCGAGAGAAGTTCCCCCGGAGGCTCCCGGAGCCGCAGGGGAGCTGGTGGGGATATGCAAGGCCGCTGTTCCTTCCTACATAGGGATGATTTGTTTAGTCTGTCAGGCAATTGTGGGGTATTTTTTGACTTTTGAAAACTGTTCGTCCAAAATCTGCCTGCAGGGGGACAGGCCCGACCTACACCCAGTGTCTCTTCCCTGCTTTTCGTTGCCCAGCCGTACAGACTCCCTACAGGACCAAGGCCACATTTGGGGGGGTCGCATCTGGGTCGCCAGGTGGGTCGCGGGCTGGGTCGCGGCGGGGTCGCGGGCCGGGTCGCGGCTGGGTCGCGACTGGGTCGCGGGCGGGTCGCGGGCGGGTCGCGGATGGGTCGCGGGGCCGGTCGCGGGTGGGTCGCAGGTGGGTCGCGGGTGGGTCGCTGGTGGGTCGCCAGTGAGTCGCGGCTGGATCGCGGGGTGGGTCGCGGGGTGGTCGCGGCTGGGTCGCGGGGTGGGTCGCGGGTAGGTCCCGGGTGGGTCGCCGGTGGTTCGCGGGTGGGTCGTGAGTGGGTCGCGGGCCCGGTCGCGGGGGCGACGACGACAAACAAACAAGATTAACAACAACAACAACAACAGCAGCAACAGCAACAGCAACAGCAACAGCAGCAACAACAACCATCAAAAACCAAAAAAAAGGCAGCCAAACAAATGAACAAGACACACATCATAACAACAACAACAACAACAACAACAACAACAACAACAACAACAACAACAGCAGCAGCAGCAGCAGCAACAACAACAATAACAAAAACAACGACAGCAACAACAACAACGGCAACCACAACAACCATAACAAGAATAACAACAGCGACTACCACTACAGCAAAACGAACAACAAACAACAACACACAACAACCAACAAAAGACAACAACAACAACAACAACCGCAACAACAACAACAGCAGCAGCAACAACAACAACAATAACAAAAACAACGACAGCAACAACAACAACGGCAACCACAACAACCATAACAACAATAACAACAACGACTATCACTACAGCAAAACAAACAGCAAACAACAACACACAACAACCAACAAAAGACAACAACAACAACAACAACAGCAGCAACAGCAGCAGCAACAGCAACAGCAACAGCAACAGCAACAACAACAGCAGCAACAGCAACACTCCGCATCGCAGAACCTCACTTCAGCCACGCGCCCAGGGAAAGTGAATGACCGTTCGGCCCCCTCACGCTGATCATTAAGAATCTCAGCCCGAGCCCCAGACCCCATCTTTCTGCGGCACCTCTCGGGCCGCATCGATCTGTGAGGGCCCAAGGGCACACAACGATGCGCAACCACCCGTTATGAACCAGTTGCGACACGGCGGCGGTGCGAGGACGATGGCGGCGGTGCGACGACAACGACAACGCCTCACGACGACGACGACGACGACGACGACGACGACGACAAAGTTGATGAACACGACGACGACGACGACGACGACGACGACGACGACGACGAACACGCCCACGACCACGACAACGACGGCGACGACGACGACGACGACGAAGACGACGACGAAGACGACGACCACGACCACGACGACGACCACGACGACGACGACGACGACGACGACGACGACGACCACGACCACGACGACGACCACGACGACGACGACGCGGGCCAGGAGAACCGCTGGTGCGAGGACGCCTGAGAGCTGCGCGGGCGGCGGGCCGCTCCCCTCCGCCTTGTGGAGCGGCGGGGGGCAGCGGCGGCCGCCGTTGGGAGGCGGGCCGCACGCTGGAGCCGGGCAGGGCCAAGGGGGAGGAGGAGGAGGAGGAGGAGGAGGAGGAGGAGGAGGAGGAGCAGGAAGAGGAGGAAGGAGGAGGATGAGGAGGGGGGAGGAGGGGGATGGGGGGCAGAGGATGGGAGGAGGAGGATGGGAGTAGGAGGAGGAGGAGGAGGAAGAGGAGAGGAGGAGGAGGAGGAGGAGGGGGAAGGAGGGAGGAGGGAGGGAGGGGGAAGGAAGGAGGAGGGAAGAAGGAGGAGAGTAGGAGAAGGAGGAGGAGAAGAGGAGGAGAAGGAGGAGGAGGGGAGAAGGAGGGAGGAGGAGAAGGAGGAGGTGTGAGAGAGACGTGTGAGGAGGAGGAGGAAGCAGGATCAGGAGGAGGAGGAGAGGAGGAGCAGGAGCAGGAGGAGAGGAGGAGGGGGGGCAGGAGGATGACGAGGAGAAGGAGTTGGGTGAGCAGGAGGAGGAGGAGGAGGAGGAGGAGGAGGAGGAGGAGGGCGGGAGTGAGGGTTTCGAGGCATACTGTTTTTCATTATACGATTATGACAGGGTGCGGATACGCTACTACTCTCCTTCGCGTCCTGGTCCTCTCGGAGTTAGACCAGATTTCCAAGGAGTTCAAGCTGTGTCGTCTCTACAGCCTCGTTGATGAGATCACCATCCAGACCATTGCTACCCACACACTTGCCAGGAAGACGGCCGATCAGGCCACGCAAGCTCTCTGCAGGAGACTGGAGAAGATGCTCCTCGTCATCTCTTGCACGAATGGCTTGGCCATTGCCACCAACGCCGTCCGTGCCAAGGAGGTCTGCGCAGACCTTAGACAGTGGAGTTTCAAGTCCGTCCACTCAGCTTGTACCTTGGGGTGTGATTTCTCTATCCGGGGGACTCGATCGGCTCGGATACAGAAGAACAGGATCGGCAAGATTCCCAGTCGTGCAGGGAAATTCCGTTCGCTCAAATCGAGGTCAAGAAACTCACCACTATTGCGAAGGCCTTACGGCCGCTGCCGCCGACCCTGAATGGGGACGACGACGACAACAGCGGCAGTGGCGACGACGACGGCGACGCTGACGTGGGCCAGAGTCCTCAGAGGTGCTTCTTGGGGTCTCGTTGGAAGGCTCTCGGGGGCCTCTGGGTAGGAGAGTTGGGGGTCTCTTGGGAGCCTATTGGGGGCCTCTTGAGAGCCTCTTGGGGGCCTCCTCGGACTTCCTGGGGACCTCTTGTGGCCCTCGTGGAGCCTCTTGGGAACCTCTTGGGGCCTCTCTTGGGGCCGAGGGCTCGAAATGTCCGCTCGGGTCCCCCGTCTGGGCACGCTCTTGGAGCCGTCTTCGAGGCTCTTGGGCCGTTTTGGAGGCGTTTGGGCTGTTTTGGAGCCCTCTTGGAGGCTTCTTGGGCCTCTTGGGGCGATCTTGGGGGCCTCTTGGGCCGTCGTGAAGCGGCGGGAAGAGGAAAAGACGAGAACGCCCAAATCTTGAAACAAAAACATCAGGAGCATCAATTGGTTGTGCGCTCTTGGGGCCCTTTCGGGAGTGCTCTTGGAGGCTTCTTGGGGCGTATTGGAGGCCTGTTGGGCAGTCTGGAGGGCGTGCGAGCGCTTTGGACCGATCGTTTGGCGATTGGGTGCCCTCTTGGACCGTCTCGGGGGCCTCTTGGGGCACTCGTGGCCTGCCTTTGTACTTTCTGAGGCCCGGGCCCCCCCCCCCAAGGACCCCCCCCCGACGGGGAGGGGATCAAAGAGAAGGGACTTCTGTTCGACTCGACTACGACCTTGCCAGAGTTTTCTCTCGCTGACAGGCTTGAGGAAGAGGGCGCAGGGAAAGGGGACGACGGAGACGACGACTGACGGCGACGACGACTCGAACAGACGAGTCCCTCACACACGCCGACAGGGCCGGCGGACTGCCAGAGCTGGAGCGCTCACAGCGGCCAGCCACGGCACCCGCGTGATTGGCACAGCGTCCAAGCAGCCCCAGACATTGCGCTCGGCGATGGCAGAGGGGATGTCTTGGGCCTGCACGTCGGCGTTCGAGGACGGCCCGATTGATGATGCCAGGACATTAGATGGCCGACCCCCATGTGCGCAGCCAGTTCCCAGCCGCTGATCTTTGATGGGGGACGGGCGAAGGTCTGATTGCAGCCGCAGGACACGAACATAAAACCGATAAACCGATCAACCGATAAACTATTTCGGTTGATCGGTTGATCGGCAGATCGACCGATAAACCGATATGATTATATCGGTTTATCGGTCGATCTGCCGATAAACCGATCAACCACTAAACCGACTCATCGCATGCGTGCCCGAATCTCAGCACAGTTTGGCTTTATCCTTTTATCGGTTTATCGGTATATCGGATGTTTCAGCTTATCGGTTGATCGGTTTATCCGCCCGGCGTTGTCGTGGTTGTCCAATGGGTAATCCTTCGAAATTATCTCTCCTCTTCCTCCTAGTCCTCCCCTTCCTCTTCCTCCTAGTCCTCCTCCGCCTCCGCCTCCTCCTCCTCCTCCTCCTCCTCCTCCCTCTTCCTCCTCCCCCCTCCTCCGTTCCGATCCTCCCTCCCTCCCTCTCCTCCCTCTCCTCCCTCCCTCCCTCACTGGCCCCGACGCCCATGGTTCTCCTAGTCCTCCGTCCACCTCTTGCTCCTCGTCTCCTCCGCCTCCCCTTCCTCTTCCTCCTAGTCCTCCTCCGCCTCCGCCTCCTCCTCCTCCTCCTCCCTCCTCCTCCTCCTCCTCCTCCTCCTCCTCCCTCCTCCGTTCCGATCCTCCCTCCCTCCCTCCCTCTCTTCCCTCTTTCCCTCACTGGCCCCGACGCCCATGGTTCTGCGCGCACAGGGCCGCGGCCCCCGTGAGCCCCTTCTCGGCGTTCCAGCTGACCACCATTCCTGGGGAGCTCGTCCTCCCTCCCTCTTCCCCTCCTGCCCACACTCTCACATCCGTCCCCCATTCCCCTCCCTTGTTCCCCTCCTTGTCCCCCCCCCCGCCTCCCTCTCCACCTCATCCCATCCGGCCTCCTGCCTATACTCCCCTCCCACCTCCTCCTCCTCATTTCCTCTCCACCTCATCATAATCCCCCCTCCTCCTCCGCCCCCTCCCTCCTCTCCCTCCACCTCCTCCTCCTCCTGCCCCCTCCTCCTCCTCCCTCCTCCTCCTTCCTCATCATCATCATCAGCATCCCCGTCCTATCCTCCTCCTCCCACGCCTCCTCCCCCTCCTCTATACTCCCCCTCCCACCTCCTACTCCATTTTCCTCGCCTCCTCATCATCATCACCCGCCCTCCTCCTCCTCCCCCTCCCATCCCTCCCCCTCCTCCCCTCCCTCCCCCCCCTCCTTCCTCCTCCTCCTCCTCCTCCTCTTCCTCCTCCTCCTCCTCCTCCTCCTCCTCCTTACCCCCTCCTCACCCCGTCCTCCTCCTCCCCCCCCTTTCCCTCCCTCTCCCCTCCTCTATATTCCCATTTTCCCCCCTCCTCCTCAATCATTCCTCCACCGCCTCCTCATCATCATCATCATCCCCTCCAGCCTCCCCCTCCCTCCTCCTACCTCTCCTCTTCCTACCTATCCTCATCATCATCCCCGTCCTCCCCCCCTCCTCCGCCCCCCCCCCTCCCCCCCTCCTCCTCCTCCTCCTCCTCCTCCTCCTCTTCCTCCTCCTCCTCCCTCACTCCTGGCCCTCCTCCTCCCCGTCCTCGCCTCACTCCCCCCCCTCCCCCTCTCCTGCTCCTCCTCCTCCTCCTCCTCATCCTGCTGATCCTCCCCCTGCTCCTCCTCCTTTTCCTCCTCCTCCTTATTGTCATCATCAGCATCATCATCATCGTCGCCGCCCTCAGCTTTAAGATCATCATCATCAGCATCACCGTCATCAACATCATCATCATCAAAAGCATCATCATCATCATCAGCATCATCATCATCATCAACATCATCACCATCACCATCCGTTTTTGCTGTGGCGTAAGCTGCGCGGTAGCCCTAGCTGCGGCGAAAGCTGCAGATCCCGAATCCGTTTGCGCGGCGGGAGCTGTGGTAGTTGGGCGGCGAGAGCTGACCGCGACACTCGCGCAGCGGGGCAGCGGGAGTGGATTCATTGGTGGCTGCCTCGCGACGGCGAGGGCCTTCCCTGTCCCAGCTCCGCGCCCCCCCCCCCCCCCCCCGGCGAGAGGGCGGGCATTATGGGGAGCGAAATCTGGCGGGGCATTTTGGCGAGGGCCCAGACGCCGAGCGCCCTCAGGACGACGGGGGCGAGGGGCCCCTCGCCCTCCGCCTCAGCACCAGGGGCCCGAGCAGCGTAGTGCCATTTTTTGGCTCCTGGTTCCATGCAGGGCGACGGCGCGGCAGCCTCGGCTGACATTCAGGCGAGAGTGGCTGGCGTCACCAGTCGGGCGAGGCCATACGCACTAGTATATTGGACCGTGTCGGACTTGACTACAAATCTCGTGGAACAGCATAATGGGCCAGCGTTGCGACAGCTTGGCGCCGTGATATTGCCTCTCAACAGTTTCGAGTTGCACGACGTCGATGTGGCCCAAGAGAAGCCGGCTCTTCTGATCCATGGGCGCGCGTGGCCGCCGGTCGAGCGTTTCGCATGCCTCGAGCAGCTGATGACTAAGTACTCGGGCAGACAACCAACTCGCACGGAGAGGTGCCGCTTCTACGAAACGTTAGTCCTCGAAGCGATTGCAGGTCAAGTTCCTGGAGGTACGGTTGTCAGCATATGTCGGCAGTCTGAGCATATCGCACCAGGAGCCACGCCGGCGGCGCGGGCGACGCTCGGCCACATTCCAGGGCATCAGCCAACGAGACCACATGTGGGACCCAACGGGGAGCTTCAGCCGTTACAGGACGGCGACGCTCTTGTGGCACGAGTGTCGACTACGGGACCAATCGACCCGCAGGCTCACACGGGCAGGCGCGGGGACCTCGACCTAGTCGACATGTGCACCATGGCATCGACCAACAACATGCGCGTCATATTCCTTGGCGAACTCAACGGGGGGCTCAGCATGGGTTGCGCGATGGGCACGCTGT